TATAATACCCTATAGTGTGCTGTGAATATAATGACCCTAAAAACGGGGCCGGTGAAAAATAAGCCCCTTATACCCGTTCTGTGACTAAAATAATGCCCCCAAATAACAGTGCTGTGACTATATAATGCCCCTATAACGTGCTTTTGGACTAATAATGCCCCTTTTAAAAACCCATTGCTGGACAAATTAAAATTTACCCTAAAAACAGTCCCTGTGACTATTTTAAATGACCCTAAACAGTGCTGTGACATAAATGACCCTATAACCGTCTGTGACTATATAAAAATAATAATTTTTTTTTTGCCATTTGCAGACGTTTTTTTACCCCAAAGCTTTTACAGTCAGGGTTTGCATTTTTTTTATTTTTTTTTTTTTTAGGGGTTTGGGTCCCGGGGATCGAACCCCCCTCCTTTGGCCCTTTAAAAACGCCGTGCTCTACCCCTGAGCTACAGGGAAACCAAAATCATATAAATGACCCATAGCGGTTGCTGTGACTTAAAAATTGACCCTAAAACCAGTGCTGTGACAAATTTTGGACCCAAAAACAGTGTTTGTGACTTAAAATAAACCCTATAACAGTATCATGACTATAATGCCCCTATAATGTGCTGGGGACAAATAAAGGGACCCTAAAACAGTGCTGTAAACTATTAATGCCCCTTAACGTATAATGGCAAATTAAGGGACCCTATAGCAGGGCGGGACAAAATAAACCCAAATAAAGTTTTCAACTTATAAGGGCCCCTTTTAACAGTGCTGTGACTTTTAAAATTTCCCCTTTAAAACGTGCTGGGGACAATAAAATTTACCCAAAAACTGCTTTGGACACTATAATGACCTATAACATGCTGGGGGGGACTATAAATGCCCCTTTTAAAAACCGTATCGGGGCCCTATAAACCCCTATAATGGGGCTGTGACAAATTAATGCCCCAAACATTGCTGTTCAAATATAATGCCCCCTTAAAACCCGTAAATGGTTTAATAATGCCCCTATAGCATTTGCTGTGATTTATAATAAAACCCTATCGTTAATAAATAAAAATTTCCCCTTAATAAAAATTAGGATAAAATTTTAACCCTATAATAGTGCTGTGACTATAAATGACCCATAGCAGTGCTGTGACATAAAGACCCTATAGCCTTGCTGTGACTATAAAAATGCCCCTTTAAAACCCGTGTTTTACTATATAAGGGACCCTTAACAGTTTTTTTTTTTAACTAATAAGACCCTTAAAAACAGTACGGACAAATATAATGCCCCCTAAACAGATCGTGACTATATAATAAAACCCTAAAACCGTGCTGGGGAATAAAATAAACCCTAAAAGCAGTGCGGTGACTATTAATAAACCCTTATAGCAGTGTTTTTTTAACTAAAAAAGGGACCCTATAATTGCGTGATTTAATAAAATCCCCTTTAAACGTGCGGTGACTATATAATGCCCCTTTAATAACAGTGCTGGACTATAAATGACCCTTACAGTGCTGTGACTATAAAACCATATAGCCTGCGGGGGGAAATAAAATTTCCCCTATAACAGGGGTTTGTGCCCTTTTAAAATGACCCTATAACATTTGCTGGGGGTTTTATAAAATGACCCTAAAACCCAGTGCTGTTAAAATAATACCCTAAAAATAGTTCTGTGACTAATAATGACCCTAAAATAGTTCTGTAAACCTATAAAATGACCCTAAAATTTTCCCGTGACTATATAATGACCCCCTTAACGTGCTGGGCCCTATAAATAAACCTAAAAACATTTCTGTGATTTAATAATGACCCTAAAACGGGTGCTTTTAACTAATAATGCCCCTTAAAAACAGGGGCTGTGACTATATAATGCCCCTTTATAACAGTGCCGGGTGCTTTTAAAATTGCCCCTTTTATAACGGGGCTGTGACTATATAAAAACCCTAAAAAATCGGGGCCTATATAATGACCCAATAACAGTGCTGTGACTATATAATACCCTATAGCAGGCTTGGGGGATTAAAAATGACCCTATAACAGTGCTGTGCCCAAAAAGGCCCCTATAGCAGTCCGGGGATATTAAACCCTAAAACCCGGGGCGGTGACTATATAATGACCCAAAAAAAGTATCGTGATATATAAGACCCTAAACGAAATGTACATATAATGACCATAAAAACAGTACCCGGGGAATTAAGCCCTTTAAACCAAAATTGGACTTTAAATGCCCCAAAACCCAGGGGCCCGGGGAAACTAAAATAATTCCCCTATAACAGGGGCGGTGACTAATAAGACCCTAAACCCCAGTGCGTGACATATAATGACCCAACCGTGCTGTGACTATATAATGACCCTGGGCAGTATCGTGACTATATAATGCCCCTTTATAAAGTATCGTGATTTATATAAGCCCCTATAACATTCTGTGATATAAAATGACCCAAAACAGTGCTGGACTAAAATGACCCTAAAACAGTGCTGTGACTATATAATAAACCCTATGCAGTGTTTGATATATAATGACCCTTTAACATCGGGGGACAAATATAATGCCCCTATTAATAAAAATCCCGAATAAAAAGACCCTTAGCTTTGCGTGACTATTTTAATGCCCCCTTTAACATTGGGGGACTATATAACCCCCCTATAACAGTGCGGGGCTATTTAATGCCCTTTAAACTTATCATGACTATATAATAAACCCTATAAATTTCTGTGACATTTTAATCCCCTTTAAAGGGGCGTAAATTTTAAATGACCCAAAACAGTGTGTGTATATATAAAACCCCCATAGCAGTATCTTAAATATAAAATTTGCCCCTATAACGGTGCTGTGAATAAAATGACCCTATAGCAGTCCCCTGTGACTATATAATGACCCTAAAACCTTTGTGACTATATTTTCCCCTATAACAGTGTTTTTGAATATATAATGCCCCTTTAAACAGGCTTTTTGGCCCTATAAAAATTGCCCCTTTAAAACCCCGTATCATGACTTTTAAATGACCTTTTAAACAGTGCTGTAAATATATAATGCCCCATAACAGTACCTTTACTATAAATGACCTTATGGGCATTGTTGACATATAAATCCCTATAACAGTGCTGGGGACATAAAAGACCCTAAAACAGGGGGACATATAAGACCCAAATACCGTGCTGTGACTATATAATAAACCCCCTATAACAGTGCTGGACTATGAATGACCCTATAGCAGTGCTGGGGACTATTTTAAGCCCCAATAACAGGGGCGGTGACTAAAAAGGCCCCCTAAAATATGCTTTTAACTATATAAAAACCCTTTTAAACAGTAAATGTGACTATAAAATGACCCTATAGCATGGGGGTGACATAAAATACCCAAACAGTGCGGTGACTATATAATCCCCCTTTACCCCTTTCTGGGGACTTTTATAAGACCCTATAACAGTAAAAATGGCTTAAAATGCCCTATAACATTATCATGACTATAAATTTAACCCTTTTAAACGGGGTTGCTGTGGGGGGATTATAAATGACCTTTTAACAGTGTGTAAATTTATATTGCCCCTATACCGTTTTTGTGACATATAATGACCTATACGGGCTGTGACTTAAATAAGGACCCTATGGGCAGTGTTTGGGGGGACTATAAATGACCCAAAAGTGGGGGTTATATATAATGACCCTAAACAGTGCTGTGACTAATAATGCCCTTTTAAACAGTATCATGACAATAATGACCCTATACAGGGGCTGTAAACTTTTTAATGACCCAAAACCCTTTCTGTACTAATAATGCCCCTTATAACATTTGCTTGACAATAATCCCCCTATAACTTGCTGTGACTATAAAATGACCCTTAACGTGCGTGACATATAATGCCCCTATAACAGGGCTGTAAATATAAAATGCCCCTTTAAGCCTGCTTTTAAAATATAATGCCCCCTAAAAACAGTGCTGTAAACTAAAATAAAACCCTATAGCAGTGCTGTGAAAAAGTAATGCCCCAAAAAACGTGCGGTGACAAATTATAAGGACCCTATAAAAATTTTTTGTGACTATATAATGACCCTAAACAGTATCATACTTATAATGACCCTATACCCGTGCTGGGGACTAAAAATCCCCCAATAACAGTCTGTGACTATATAAGCCCCCTAAAACCCGTATCACCCCCCCTATATAATGCCCCTAAAACAGGGGCTGGGATATTTTAATAAACCCTAAAAAGAAATTTGGAAACTATAAAAATGCCCCTTTTGAAAGTGCTGGGGACAATAAAATTTCCCAAAAAACATTTGGGGTGACTTTAATGACCCTTTTTAGCCGTTTGGGGACTATATAATGCCCCTATAACAGTATAAGGGTTATATAAGGCCCCTATAAACATACATGATTTTATAAAAATGCCCCTTAACAGTGCTGGGAGTAAAAATGCCCCCTATAACAGTGGCTTTTTGACTTTAAAATTTCCCTTTTACCTGCTGTAAACTATATAAGACCCTAAAAACCGTGCTGTGCCCAAATAAAGGCCCCCTTGGGCGTGCTTTTATTTTATAAGACCCTATGCAGGTTTGTGACTAAAAAAGCCCCTATCCCCGTGCTGTGACTTAAATGACCAATTTTTTGGGGTGCCTATATAATAAACCCTTTTAAAAACAGGCCCGGGACTATTATGCCCCTATAACATTTAAATTATATAAAAACCCTATGCCGGGCTGTGACTATATAATAAACCCTAAAACCCGTATCCCCCTTTTTAGCATTTTATCACGACTATAAAATGACCCCTATAAAGTGCGGTGGTATATAATGACCCTAAAACGACCAGGGACTATTAATGACCCTAAACTGGGGCTGTGACATATAAGGGACCCTAAAAACGGGGGCTGTGACTTTTTGGTACCCTATAACGGTGCTGTAGGTTGACTAGATCAATGACCCTTATAACCAGTGTCCTGACTATATAACTGACCATCATATAGTGCTGGGCCTATATAATGACCCTATAACAGTGCTGTGACTATATAATGACCCTATAACAGTATCATGACTCCTGACTGTTTCAGGTCAGGGGAAGCTTCACCGCCAGCCCAGTATGGACCAGAGAGAGAGTCGGCCGTGTTTCTCAACGGGGAAGGCCCTACATCATGAGCAGCCCAGCGTAAGTAAACAGAAATTCCTTTATAGCTACAGAGTACTTTATATTTGATAGATAACAGGCTGAGCAGTCCAGCGTAGGTAAACAGAAATTACTGATCAGGCTGAGCAGCCCAGAACTTTAAGTACAACCTCATCAGCCTACAACCTCATCAGCCTACAACCTCATCAGCCTACAACCTCATCAGCCTACATCCTCATCAGCCTACAACCTCATCAGCCTACATCTGAAACACAACATTTACATGTCAGGTGGTGTTGTGCTTTTATGTCTTTCTCAACTGGTTTATGGCTTCCAGCAAAGGCTAACTGAAAGTAGTTTCATTTAACGGTTCACTTACGTTCAATACCTTGTAGCCACAAGTGTCAAACCCCGGTGCCGTATTGGTTGACTAAATAGTCCTATTATTTTACTTAACGCTAGAACGGCTGGGCCTTGAGGGACTCCTTCATCATTCTGACTGCAACATTCGAACAGTGTAATTTAATACATTTCATATATGCTATCCCTAAAATAATAATTTAGTTGTCTTCATGAAGGTGATAGGTAACATTTAGAATACGATTTTCTTTTTTAATAACACAAATGCATTTTCATTAGTTTGTTACTGTAGGCTATATGGGGAAAAACACAAATTCAAGTGTTGAATATATTTTATTAGTGGAGTGCCTTTTTTGTTACAACTATGAAACAGAAAGCATATGTGTTGGAACACGGTAACAGCTTCTTTTTTTATAATGATAAAATAAATACCCCAACCACCAAGGTGCACGGTCAAAACGCACGTTCAGATGATTTACATTTCCACGTTAGTCATTTAGCAGACGCTCTTATCCAGAGCCACTTACAGTAGTGAGATCATATACTGGTCCCCCGTGGGAATCGAACCCGCAACCCTGGCGTTCCAAACGCCATGCTCTACCGACTGAGCTACACGGGACCAGCTGGGCACTGCACTTTCAACTGTCGGAAGAAGGAGGGGAGTTGGCCCTACTGTTGGGAGAAGGAGGGGAGTTGGCCCTACTGTTGGGAGAAGGAGGGGAGTTGGCCCTTCTGTTGGGAGAAGGGGGGGAGCAGGCCCTACTGTTGGGAGAAGGGGGGGAGTTGGCCCTTCTGTTGGGAGAAGGAGGGGAGTTGGCCCTAATGTTGGGCGAAGGAGGGGAGTTGGCCCTTCTGTTGGGAGAAGTAGTGGCAACGGGGAAAACCATTCATAAAATGACATGCCCTCCTAAAACGGCTTATAACTCTAGTTCTGTTTGTGATATTAAGATTCTAACACCGACAGTGTGTTGTAGACTTATTTAGGAAAAGTCAAGGACAGAGGGGGGCATGACTTACAAAATGGCAGAGAAATAAATAAAATTAATGAGCAGTCTAAATTACTGCTTTATCTGTTCTAGTGTTAAAGGGTTAGTTGGGGGTTTGGCCATGAAGACCTTTTTCTACTTCCCCAGAGTCCGGTGAAATCGTGGATACCGTTTTTATCTCTCTGCGTGTAGTTTGAAGGAAATTGCTAACTAGTGTTAGTGTAGCATGCTAGCTGTTCTCATAGACTTCCAGTCATTGCGCTAACGCTAGTTAGCATTGGCTCTGGAAACTACCTTTAACTTCCTTCTTACTGGACGCAGAGACATAAAAATGACATCCACAAGTTCATCGGACTCTCATAACCAGAACTATCCCTTTAACACCGTTCAGTCTGGATCTATTACAGTTTGTCATTGTCCTGTTTGGTGCTTGTAGGAAGGTCTGTCAGAGTTTGAGGTGGTGAACATGGAGGAGAGGACCTCCGATACCCAGACGGTAAGTACCAATTTTCACACGGGGGCTAGTTAACAATAACGCGACTCAAATGAGATGTTTGGAAACAATCCAGGTTCTTTATGTAATTTGGTTCAGGTTAGTCGACCTACATTCAGGACCACTCGGTGCATCTGTTTGTGTCTAGATAGATCAACTTCAGCAAGATTGTACAGTGTGTGTGTGTGTGTGTGTGTCATAACTTCTGGTCAACACAGTTAAAACACTGAACATTGAACATGTCATACCTGGTGATGAATCTAAGAGCTTGAAAGCAGCTCCTCAAGTTTCATTTCCTTAGCTCTCTGGTCTCTCTGGTCATTTCTCCCATATCAGGAACTTCTGTCTCTCTTCTCTAGTGAGTCAACCTCTAACTCAATACTGGTAGTTCAACATGAGTCAGCACAGGGAATGGCCACGATTTATTACTGACCACACACACACACACACACACACACACACACTCTCACACTCACACACACCTGCTGTTAGGGAATGCCTGACGGGGAAGAATATCACAGTCACAGAATATTCCAGCCAGATATGGTATTGAGTCACATGGCATAATGACCGTCACTGATATACACGTCATCACCCAAAGTATAGGAAAACTGACACATTTCCTCAAGTCTATAAACGGAGCTTCTTTATGAACGCTTCAGCATCTCTGACTCCAATCTTAATGGAGTTTTGCTTTGTTGTACAGTATTGCAGGAAATGTATAGGACTGCATTGCATATAGGATATGGAGCATTACTTACATGACCAGTCAATACGACACAGAGGGACTGTCTCTCTTGTGTGTCAGTATATCTATCTACAGGCTGTATGATTCAGATAGGACTTTTCCTTATTTTTATACATCCAGTATCCACGAGACTGGAGAGAGAGAGAGAGAGAAATCTATGTGGTGTTTTGACATTCCTTGATTAGTGTCCTGTCCAGTCAGTATGGTGGTACAGAGGGTCTGACTGAGTCTCCCTGGTGTCCATCTCAGGTCCTCTGTTTTACTATTGTTTAACTCTCTTCCTTGAGCTATCTTAGTTTCATATTTGTCTAGAAATGTATTGTTTTAAAGTGCTATATAGATATGTGCTATATAGATATGTGCTATATAGATATGTGCTATATAGATATGTGCTATATAGATATGTGCTATATAGATATGTGCTATATAAAAAGTTTGATTTGATCTCCAGACTGGTACGGGAGCAGGGCAGCTGCCTCCGGAGAACCAGGAGTTAGCCAGCCAGCTGCAGCGTCTAGAAGGCTCCTTCAGTATCTTTGCTGAGGAGTCCAACCCCAACCAACTCCTAGCCCACCTGGGACGCATGGCCGTCGAGTTCCACCACCTCTCCTCCAAGGTCCAGAAGAATGAGCAGAGGACGTCCCTCCTACAGGTAACTGACAGGGAGAGGGGCAGGTTGGGAGACAGACGGGTAGACAAATGGATAGGCAGGCAGAGAAGTAGAGAAATAAATATAGTAGGCCTAGCCTATAGAAAGCTGATGGGATCCTCCTCTTTTTAAGAGGCCATCAACTCTGTTTTGTCACGTAATTGCACAGCCTATAGAAATGTTGCGCAACGTGCTCATGGGCTCTCATGAAGTGTTTGATTTGTTTTTCGATAACATTTGCATTGATGTCAGAGTGATTAGAGGGACAATAGAGTGCTGAGTACCAGGCAGTTAGCGAGTTTGGTAGGCTGCTAATGACCATCAGCGGCATCAGAACTTGGAGAAGCCTAATTACCGTGACTAAACGGTCACGTGGAATTTGACTGCCTTCATGACTCGGGACCGCCGGTGTGTCGGTAATACGGTCACCGCAACAGCCCTAGTCCAGGTGCGACAAAACTAGGGCCTGTAGGACCTGCTTGGTTGATTTTTAGATGTCAGGAAAGCAGAGCAATGCCTTATCATGGACAGACCTCTTCCCATTTTAGCAACCATTGAGTCTGTTTTGACCAGGACAGCTTGCTATCTAGGGTTACACCCAGCAGTTTAGTCTCCTCAACTTGCTCAAAAGCCACATTATTCAGTAATAGATCTAGATGAGGTTTTAAGGTTGAGCGAGTGATTTGTCCCCAAAAATGATACTTTTAGTTTTTGAGAGATTTAGCACCAGCCTATTGCTAGTTACCCATTCTAAAACCTGACTGGAGCTCTATGTTAAGGGTGTTATTTATTTATTTTACTGTTGTAGCTGACGTGTATACGGTTGAGTCGTCAGCGTACATAGACACACAGGCTTTATTCAAGGTCAGTGGAAGGTCATTAATAAAAACAGAAATCTGTGTTCCATTAGATGGGTAATCCATAATAAGGCAGAGGATGTAAATCTTCTTTATCAATTTCTTTCAGCCAATCATCAGTAATTTGTGTCGGTGCTGAGCATGTTGAGTGCCGTTCCCTATAAGCATGCTGAAAGTAGGTTAATTTGTTTTCTGTAAAATAAAATGTGTATTTGGTCAATGTTGGCGTCTGCTAAATGACTAAAATGTAAATGTATATGTCAAACACTATTTTTTTCCCACAGGTTTGCTAAGCACTTGTTAACAGGTTGATTTGGTCGGCTGTTTGAACCATTTAAAGGGAGCTTTGTTATTCTTGTGCAGTGGAATGACCTTCGCCTCCCTCCAGGCCTGAGGGGGCACTCTGTCTTCTAGGCTTACATTGAAGATGTGGCAAACAGGAGAAACGTGTTCCGCCACCAACTTCAGCAATTTACATTTATTTAAATGTATTTAAATTATTATTTAAAGGTTGTCGGGTACCAGGTGGCTTGTTCTGATTTTATAGATGGCAACAGTTTTTTCCGCCCTTCCACACCAACTTTGTGGAACTCAAAATGACAGTGCTTGTCTTTTCATTATTTGGTACATTTATGCATTAATATGAAGGCTCAGCATTTTGTTGTCTGCATGTCATGCCTAAGTTTTCTAATGTTGTCAACAAAAAATGTATTCAAGGGGTTGGCAATATCAAAGGGTTTTGTTACGAACAGGCCATCTGCCTCAATGAAGGATGGAGCTGAGTTCGCTTTTTTGCCTAAAATTGTATTTAAGGTACTCCAGATCTTTTCCCATCCTTTATAATGTATCTTTGTTCTACAGCAGGGGTGTCAAACTCATTTTAGCTCAGGGGCCACATGGAGGAAAATCTATTCCCAAGTGGGCCGGACCGGAAAAATCATGGTGTATATATAACTTAAAAACAACAACTTCAGATTGTTTTCTTTGTTTTAATACGATCAACATACAACATAAAGCTGGAGCCTGAGGACAGTGTGTCCAAAATAGTACAAGCACAACATCACTATTAATCATAAAACACGTCAAGTTTATTTGAAAATTCTAAAGAAAAAGAACACACAAACACACAATGCCTCAGTGATTAACAGAACTGTTTCACAGATCACAGAACTATATCAGGGTGTCATTTCTCAGGCAGAAATGTAGATAAAAATAATGAAATCCTGTTCCCCAAACAAGTGCAAGAACCACAGAGTCAAGAATAGGTTAAATATACAAATAAAATAAAAACAATTAAAAACAATAGCACATCAACATAAAAACATATAAACATAAAGCTGGAGCCTGAGGACAGTGTCCAAAAGCACAACATCACTATTAATCATAAAACACCTCAAGTTATTTGAATGTTCTGAGGACAAAAAACACACAATGCCTCAGTGATTCACAGAAGTATATCACAGATCACAGAACTATATCAGGGTGTCATTTCTCAGGCAGAAATGTAGATAAAAATAATGAAATCCTGTTCCCCAAACAAGTGCAAGAACCACAGAGTCAAGAATAGGTTAAATATACAAATAAAATCAATTAAAAACAATAGCACATCAACATAAAAACATATAAACATAAATCTGAAAGCTTGCTCAAACTCCCGTAACAGTCCCGTTATTTTATCTTTGAACCGCTTCATGTCTGCCACATGTTGGGTCGCGCACACATTTTTCAGACAGGGGAAGTGAGCTGCATCACCACCGGCAAGTTGCGTCTCCCACAATGACAGCTTCAACTTGAAAGAACGTATGCTGTCATAATACTGCGTGACAACTTTGTTGCGCCCTTGCAGCTGTTTGTTCAAGTTATTCAGGTGCTCTGTAACATCCACCATAAATGCAAGGTCCTGCATCCATTCTGCGGAATGAAATTCTAACACTGGTTTGCCCTTTTCTTCCATGAACTGTTCAATTTCTTCTCGTAAATCAAAGAAACGCCTCAGCACAGCACCTCGGCTTAACCATCTTACCTCAGTGTGGTATGGCAGGCCATAGATGTGGTCTTTCTCTCTGAGAAGGCTGTCAAACTGACGGTGATTCAGGCTTCTGGATCGGATGAAATTAACAGTTTGGATGACCACCTTCATGACGTTATCCATCTTTAATGACTTGCAACACAAAGCCTCCTGGTGCAAAATACAGTGAAAAGTCAAAAAATCACGTCCTCCATTTGCAGATTGCACTTTCTCTCTGAACTTTGTCACAACGCCTGCTTTTTTTCCCGATCATTGAGGGCGCACCATCTGTAGCCAGGCTGACAGCGCGGGACCAGTCCACTCAGACCCTGTCCAGCGCGCCGACAAGTGCGGTAAAAATATCAGCTGCTGTCGTTGTATCTGTCATCGGCACCAACTCCACGAACTCCTCGGTGACGGTCAATGTGTCATCAACTCCGCGGATGAAAATGGCCAGTTGTGCAACATCTGTAATGTCCGTGCTTTCATCAATTGCAACCGAAAACGCAATAAATGACTTTACTTTTTGCTTCAACTGGCTGTCCAAATCCACTGAAAGATCAGAAATCCTGTCTGCAACTGTGTTTCTTGTCAGGCTGATATTTGCAAAAGCCTGCCGCTTTTCAGGGCACACAATCTCCGCTGCCTTCATCATGCATGTTTTTACAAATTCACCCTCACTAAATGGTTTTGAAGCCACTGCGATTTCATTAGCAATGAGGTAGCTAGCTTTCACTGCAGCGTAACTGATGTCTCGGCTGTGAGTAAACACATGCTGCTGTTTCTTCAGACCCGCCAACAGTTCATTCACCTTCTCTCATCTCCGCTGTCCTTGAAAGTTGTCATATTTGTCGGCATGAAGACTCACATAGTGGCGACGAAGGTTATATTCTTTCAGCACTGCAACATGCTCTGAACACACCAAACATACAGCTTTCCCATTCAATTCAGGGAATAAATAGGATGACCATTTTTCTTGGAACACTCTGCACTCTGCGTCCACTTTTCTCTTTTTTGACAGAGACATATTGGGGCAATGAGGGTGCCAAAGCACATAATGTTAAAAGTAGAAGCCGTAATAAATATTGCGGGCAAAACAAAGTAGCTCATTGGCTGCACGTGCTTGACCTACTTGCTCTGCCCCGGTATAAACAGTTTGCTTGCTTAACACAATTGCTATTGCGCCATCCAGTGGACGCAATTGGAACAGCAGCTTATTATATAGAAAAATTGCAGCGCATTTTTATACTTTACCAAATTTTTTTTTTTTTTTATTATCTCGCGGGCCGGATTAAACCCGTTTGCGGGCCTGATCCGGCCCGCAGGCTGGACGTTTGACACCCCTGTTCTACAGTATAGTTTCTTATTTTTGTTTAGTTACGTGATTTCTAAATTGACTGTATGTTTGCCAGTCTGCTGTGTTGTCAGACTTATTTGCTAGTCCCTTTGCCGCATCTCTCTCAGCCATACAGTTTTTCAATTCATCTATCCATGGGGATTTGGCAGCTCTAACAGTCAGTTTCTTGATGAGTGCATGCCTATCAGTAACTGGATAAAGCAATTTCATACACTTCCAGTTAAACGTTTGGACACACCTTTTTAGAACACCTACTCATTCAAGGGTTTTTCTTTTCTTTTTACTATTTTTTTTTACATTGTAGAATAATAGTGAAGACATCAAAACTATGAAATAACACATATGGAATCATGTAGTAACCAAAAAAGTGTTAAACAAATCAAAATATGTTATTTGAGATTCTTCAAATAGCCACCCTTTGCCTTGATGACAGCTTTGCACACTCTTGGCATTCTCTCAACCAGCTTCACCTGGAATGCTTTTCCAATAGTCTTGAAGGAGTTCCCACATATGCTGAGCACTTGTTGGCTGCTTTTCCTTCACTCTGCGGTCCAACTCATCCCAAACCATCTCAATTGAGTTGAGGTCGGGGAATTGTGGAGCCCAGGTCATCTGATGCAGCACTCCATCACTCTCCTTCTTGGTAAAATAGCCCTTACACAGCCTGGAGGTGTGTTGGGTCATTGTCCTGTTGAAAAACAAATGATAGTCCCACTAAGCCCAAACCAAATGGGATGGCGTATCGCTGCAGAATGCTGTGGTAGCCATGCTGGTAAAGTGTGCCTTTTGAATTTTAAATAAATCACAGACCGTATCACCAGCAAAGCACCCCCACACCATAATACCACCTCCTCCATGCTTTACGGTGTGAAATACACATGCAGAGATGATCCGTTCACCCACACCGCGTCTCACAAAGACACAGCGGTTGGAACCAAAGATCTCCAATTTGGACTCCAGACCAAAGGACAGATTTCCACCGGTCTAATGTCCCATTGCTCGTGTTTCTTGGCCCAAGCAGGTCTCTTCTGATGATTATTCTCTTCCCTGTGTTCAAGAGAGTGTTGTAGTCCTTCTTAAGTTCCTCAGATTGCCGAAAGCGAATGTCATTAAAGCCAACGTGAGTGACTATGGTGCCAATGTTAGAGTAGTTGGCTAGGGCTGTGGGCAGGAGGGAATTGATGTCTCCGACACAGGCGCCTGGGCGACAGTGGATCTTGGTCGGCCCACAGGCCGTAGGCAGGCCAAAATCTCACACCATCGAGCTCCCCACGATAACGGTGGTTGTGATGGAATCTGATGGGGAAGGAAGAGGGGGAACCAAACGGGTCTGCCTCGGCCAGGGTGGAGGTGTGTGTCTTGGTACAGGAGGAGAGTGCTGTCTTACTAATGCTTGTCCCTCTGTTTGTCTAGACTCTGTGTGAACAGCTCAGACAGGAGAACAATGAGCTGAGAGAGAAGATGGAGGAGGACCTTCAGTACAGAAACAGAGAACTGCTGCGGTGAGTTTTTTTTCAATTAGACTTTCAGCTCCCCAGGGGAGAGGGGGAGTGTGAGTTTATTATTGTGAATTTAAACTGAATGTTGACTTTATACTGTTTTCTGCTCCCAAGTCAAGTTTAGGACTTTGTTCGAGTTTATTGAGCTTAAATAAAGGCGATGAGTAGACTTTCACTTTTCTTTTTCAAGATGATTCTCTGTCCAGCAACTACAGAGCTTCAAGTGAAGTGACAGTTGGCCAAAGTTTTTTGATGATTCTGGAATTGCCCTAATATTCTCCCTACCTCAGTAGGGTGTTCCCAGCGGATATCTATGGCTCTGACAAGCTACACATTACTCTACTAAACACTGGGATAAAGTCCCTGTAACTGCATAGTAACACTAACCCTGCTTTCACTCTCTAGTCACTGCAGACAGGAGAACCTGAAGCTGAAAGAGCTGGTAACGGGAGGAGGAGATACTGCAACGGAGAGCGAGGGTCAGCCAGAAGCCAAAGAAGATGTGGTGAAAGAGGAAACTGCCAGCGTTAGATCCAAGATGGAGGTCAGCACACCACAGAAGGTATGCAAATCCTGCTCCAGAATGGATGGGATGGCACCTGTCTGGTTCAGAGGATTTAAAAGCTGGGAGAGAGAGAAAGGGGGAAATGATCAGCATTGATGTCTAGGAAGCCACAGCATCATTTAGGGACGTGTGTGTGTGTGCGCTGTTACAGTAAATACCCTTGTTTCCGTATTGTGTATTGTCAGGATGAGCCAGATCATTGCCAGGCATCACAGTAGTGGTATAGTTAGCGTGTCTGATGTCACATCCTAATGTACAGTTTGAGGATGTGACTGACTTCCTCATTTCATAACACGCTGCAGTACTTCCAAGTATTACTGTAATGTTGGTGTGTGATTTTCGGTCAGTGTAGAATGTCTGTGAGAGACTTCCCAGGTCTGTCGTGCAAATGCTTAAAAAAAATTGTTTTTGTTTTATACACTATTTGTATAAATGGTGATCTGTACCAGTGCGGGGAATTTAAGAGCAATGTTTCATATCCCTGTCCTGTTGCAGAGTGGGCTCAGAATCATCATGTTTCATATCCCTGTCCTGTTGCAGAGTGGGCTCAGAATCATCATGTTTCATATCCCTGTCCTGTTGCAGAGTGGGCTCAGAATCATCATGTTTCATATCCCTGTCCTGTTGCAGAGTGGGCTCAGAATCATCATGTTTCATATCCCTGTCCTGTTGCAGAGTGGCTCAGAATCATCATGTTTCATATCCCTGTCCTGTTGCAGAGTGGGCTCAGAATCATCATGTTTCATATCCCTGTCCTGTTGCAGAGTGGGCTCAGAATCATCATGTTTCATATCCCTGTCCTGTTGCAGAGTGGGCTCAGAATCATCATGTTTCATATCCCTGTCCTGTTGCAGAGTGGGCTCAGAATCATCATGTTTCATATCCCTGTCCTGTTGCAGAGTGGGCTCAGAATCATCATGTTTCATATCCCTGTCCTGTTGCAGAGTGGGCTCAGAATCATCATGTTTCATATCCCTGTCCTGTTGCAGAGTGGGCTCAGAATCATCATGTTTCATATCCCTGTCCTGTTGTAGAGTGGGCTCAGAATCATCATGTTTCATATCCCTGTCCTGTTGCAGAGTGGGCTCAGAATCATCATGTTTCATATCCCTGTCCTGTTGCAGAGTGGGCTCAGAATCATCATGTTTCATATCCCTGTCCTGTTGCAGAGTGGGCTCAGAATCATCATGTTTCATATCCCTGTCCTGTTGCAGAGTGGGCTCAGAATCATCATGTTTCATATCCCTGTCTCTATGAATGAAGCTGAAAAATGAATGTAGTGCAAAATGCATCATTGTGACAAGTGACCATTTGCTTTTTCAAGGTCTTATATCTTGACAATGTGATTGCTGACATTAAATAAACATTTTGGGACTGTACCAACAGTGGACTATGGAGGAAAAAAGACCCTCCAAAAATAGTTTTAAGTGTATTATTCCTTTTTTAAGAATCATCATGTTTTATATCCCTGTCCTACAGCAGAGTGGGAAAGCCCCAGAGAAGGAGAAAGCCCCGGCCAAGCCCTGTGACCCAGAGGCATACGAGAAGAAGATCAAGCTTCTAGAGAAGCAGAGGAAAGACGTGAGTCCCTCTGCTCTCAACGTTACATCAGGTGTCCTCTTTTACATATGGAAAGGTCTTTGTGAAAAATGTGTGTGTGCGGCTCAAATTACACCCTATTCTCTTTTTATAGTGCACTACTTTTCACCAGGGTCCATAGTAGTGCCCTATATATGAAATAGGGTGCCATTTGGGATGCACCCTTGATTAGGTGTCCTGTTTTCGTGTGTATGATGTGTTGTTTTCAGTTATATTTCTGTTGTGATGATGATGATGATGATGATGATGATGATGATGATGATGACAGGTTCTGGACGTGAACAAGCAGTGGGATGTCCAGTGGAACTCTATGAAGTCCCAGTTTGAACAGAAGGTATGTTATCTCACGCTCACTCACTCTCTCTCACACACACACACACTCACACCACCTCGTAGTAAACAGCTTTGCTGCACAAACTACATCTGGAATACATAATACAGAAGAGATTATCTGAAAACACACATAGTAACCTGATGGGAAACACATAGTAACCTGATGGGAAACACATAGTAACCTGATGGGAAACACATAGTAACCTGATGGGAAACACATAGTAACCTGATGGGAAACACATAGTAACCTGATGGGAAACACATAGTAACCTGATGGGAAACACATAGTAACCTGATGGGAAACACATAGTAACCTGATGGGAAAACACATAGTAACCTGATGGGAAACCACATAGTAACCTGATGGGAAACACACATAGTAACCTGATGGGAAACACATAGTAACCTGATGGGAAACACACATAGTAACCTGATGGGAAACACATAGTAACCTGATGGGAAACACATAGTAACCTGATGGGAAACAGACATAGTAACCTGATGGGAAACACATAGTAACCTGATGGGAAACACATAGTAACCTGATGGGAAACACATAGTAACCTGATGGGAAACACATAGTAACCTGATGGGAAACACACATAGTAACCTGATGGGAAACACATAGTAACCTGATGGGAAACACACATAGTAACCTGATGGGAAACACACATAGTAACCTGATGGGAAACACATAGTAACCTGATGGGAAACACATAGTAACCTGATGGGAAACACATAGTAACCTGATGGGAAACACACATAGTAACCTGATGGGAAACACATAGTAACCTGATGGGAAACACACATAGTAACCTGATGGGAAACACACATAGTAACCTGATGGGAAACACACATAGTAACCTGATGGGAAACACACATAGTAACCTGATGGGAAACACGCATAGTAACCTGATGGGAAACACACATAGTAACCTGATGGGAAACACACATAGTAACCTGATGGGAAAGGTGCAGTCTTGTTTACTATGCAGTGTGTACATAACCAGTGCATTCGGAAAGTTTTCTGACCCCTTTACTTTTATTCTAAAATTGATTTATATTTTTTCCTCATCAATCTACACACACTTTCTCATAATGACAAAGCAAAAACAGGTTTTTAGACATTTTTTGCAAATTTATAAACAAAACAGAAATACCTTAACTATTCAGACCCTTTGCTATGAGACTCGAAATTGAGCTCAGGTGCATCCCGTTTCCATTGATCATCCTTGATGTTTCCACAACTTGATTGGAGTCCACCTGTGGTCAATTCAATTGATTTACAGCTGCCACACATGATATGTGCGTGAAAGTGAAGTGGATGTCATTGGACCTGCGCATACAAGAGACTAGGTGACTTTGCTTAAATTCAACTGACTTTCTAAAGAACCTGCTGGTGTAAAATGTTTAGATTGGTAGGGCTGGGCCTCCCGAGCCACTGCATCGCAGTGCTAGAGGCGTCACTACTGACCCGGGTTCGATCCCAGGCTGTGTTGCAGCTGGCTGCGACCGGGAAACCAATGAGGGCGGCGCACAATTGGCCCAGCGTCGTCTGGGTTAGGGGGAGGGTTTGGCCGGCCGGGGATGTCCTTGTCCCATCGCGCTCTAGCGACTCCTTGTGGCGGGCCGGGCGCAGTGCACGCTGACTTCGGTCACCAGCTGTACAGTGTTTACTCCGACACATTGGTGCGGCTGGCTTCCGGGTTAAGACATTGGTGCGGCTGGCTTCCGGGTTAAGACATTGGTGCGGCTGGCTTCCGGGTTAAGCGAGCAGTGTGTCAAGAAGCAGTGCGGCTTGGCGGGGTCGTGTTTCGGAGGATGCATGGCTCTCGACCTTTCGCCTCTCCCGAGTCCGTACGGGAGTTGCAGCGACAGGACAAGACTGTAACTACCAATTTGGATCTCATGAAATTGGGGAGAAAAAGGGGTGAAAAGTATATATATTTTTTTCTTTTAAAAGAAAGATGGTGGTATCATATGAAACTGTGTTCTAAAATGTTGGTATCATTTACCAGTATACCATGCAACACTAGTTATAACTAACTCAGAGAGGGTACAGCCTCAGTGTTCACAGTAAACATGTGCCGGAAGTTTCAAAGAATTCTCACAACATTCAAGTTTGCACTCAGCAGACCTGAAATTAGCTCAGTGACTTAGAAGAATTTGAGGGAACATTACCCTTTTAGTCTACCCCCCCCCCCCCCTCAAACCGCTCAACATATGGTTTGCGTCATTCGGCTGGGTCTGTGGGTCTATACGCAAACACAACCCTGTGTAACTGCGTACAACTGCTCTGATCCAGTTCACTGGGTGCTAGTTTCTCTGCTACTCTGTATGAAATGATGATTCTGATAACCTGTTTGTCTCATTGAAAAGACACCAATACTCCCTGTTTTTAAAACAGTTTGAACCCCCCCCCCCCCCCCCCCCCCCCCCCCCCCCCCCCCCCCCCCTTCAAATCAGATCACAGACCTGCGTCAGCGGCTGGCGGACTCCCAGAAGGCCGTGCAGGAGCTGGAGGCGGAGCGAGAACACAGCCAGCGGGACTACGATAAGAAGCTGCTGCTTGCCAAGTCCAAGATCGAGAACGTCCAGGTGAGAACGAACGTACAGAAACCTAGTACAGACCCAGCAATGTCCTCAAGACGTATACAAACCCAACGACATACACAACACACACATACAAAACACACCATTTTTGCTGTGTGTGTTGGTGAGTGTGCAGTCTTCACTGCTATGAACACTTGCGTGTCAGCGTGTGTGACAACTGCTCCAACCCAGCCCACTCAGAATAGCCATGGTCCATTTGAGTATCTCTCACCTGTCATTTTGTCACAATGACTGTATATGAATGGACTCAATAGTGCGTTGGAAGTCATAGATGTATGTAGACATAACATGCACAGATTAAGCTACTCCAGAAAGTGACGTTGCAGGCTAGCTCAGTGCTGCCCCCTCTCATTGAGTATCTTAAGATGAAGGCCAACCGGGGTACTGCAGGCTGCCAGTAGCAACTGAATTATCCTTGTAACTTCTGTGTGCGGTTATTCTTTTTTATATATTTTTTTAAAACCATGATTCATTCTCTCTCAAGATTGACCATGAATATCGAACATTGCCATTTTCCCATTCACTATAATGGGGGGTTCTGTTTTCTGAAAACTATGCCTGCAGTACCGTGGGTAGCCTTGAAGTTCATGGCTTCAATGAGAGGTGGCAGTCGCTCTCCCCTGGTCTGTCAGAATCATGTGTAAAGTGACTAGCTCCAGTGGTTCTGTCCTTTCACCAATCAGGTTGTTGTTCGTTATCACTTTTGGTTTAAAGAATAGCTGCTGTACTGTCCCCTGGTATGGCCTTGCAGGATATCGAATTTCAGCTTTCTGCGATTACAGGAAGTGACTTAATTGGGGGTCATAGGGGCGGCTTCGAATCGACCCAAAGGCATTTTTTACCTCCATTGGACACGATGGTCTTGCAGTTCTGCCTGCCGGCCGGTCGGTCACTCTGCCTGCCTGCCTGCCAGTCTGCCTGCCGGCCGGTCGGTCAGTCGCTCTGCCTGCCGGCCGGTCGGTCGGTCGCTCTGCCTGCCTGCCGGTCTGCCTGCCAGTCTGCCTGCCGGCCGGTCGGTCATTCGCTCTGCCGGTCGGTCGGTCGCCCTGCCTGCCTGCCTGCCGGTCTGCCTGCCAGTCTGCCTGCCGGCCGGTCGGTCAGTCACTCTGCCTGCCTGCCTACTGGCCAGTCGCTATGCCTGCCTGCCGGTCTGCCTGCCTGCCGGTCGCTCTGCCTGCCTGCCGGTCTGCCTGCCTGCCTACCGGCCGGCCGGCCTGTCTGTGGGGGATAGGGAGGGAGAGGGATCAAAATCAAATTTTGTACATGCACCAAATATAACAGGTGTAGACTTTACCTAGGGCTGGGCGATATGGCCTAAAACTCATCTCTATTTTTTATTATTTTTTACTTATGGTCGATTCACAGTGCCTTGCAGAAATATTCATCCCCCTTGGCCTTTTTCCTATTTTGTTGCATTACAACCTGTGATTTTTATTTGGATTTCATGTAATGGACATACACAAAATAGTCCAAATTGGTGACGTGAAATGAAACTTAACTTGTTTCAAAAAATGCTAAAAAATAAATAACGTAAAAGTGGTGCGTGCATATGTATTCACCCCCTTTGCTATGAAGCCCCTAAATGAGATCTGGTGCAACCAGTTACCTTCAGAAGTCACATAATTAGTTAAATAAAGTCCACCTGTGTGCAATCAAAGTATCACATGATCTGTCACATGATCTCAGTATATATACACCTATTCTGAAAGACCCAAGAGTCTGCAACACCACTAAGCAAGGGGCACCACCAAGCAAGCGGCACCATGAAGACCAAAGAGCTCTCCAAACAGGTCAGGGACAAAGTTGTGGAGAAGTACAGATCAGGGTTGGGTTATAAACAAATATCTGAAACTTTGAACATCCCACGGAGCACCATTTAAATCCATTATAAAAAAATGGGACCACCCATACACAAAAAATGTATGCACGCATGACTGTAAGTCGCTTTGGATAAAAGCGTCTGCTAAATGGCTTATTATTATTATTATTATTATAACCCTGTGACACATACTGCAGTGTATTGAGAAAAAACGTCAGCTACTGTGACATTTTACCTTTTTTGCAAAAACATGCCAGGTCATTGTTAGGTCACCATTGGAGTACCAACAGGTCAACTTTAACCTGAACGTCTCTGACATGTGGAACGTCCTTCAGTCTGGATTAAAAACTGTGAATGAACTCTGAAACAGTGGAGTTGAAGCAGGTTGTGGTAATGTTGTATGAATATTTTCAGGGGGAGAAGGAGTGTCTGAACTCTGAGACCACAGAGTTGAAGCAGAAGGTTCGTTACCTGCAGGATCAGCTGCTGCCCCTCAGTAAACAGAGAGGGTACCAGGAGAAGGAGATCCAGCGCCTCAACAGGGTCAGTGCTGTGTGTGTGTGTGTGTATACTGTGTGTGTGTGTGTGTGTGTGTGTGTGTGTGTATACTGTGTGTGTGTGTGTATATACTGTGTGTGTGTGTATACTGTGTGTGTGTGTACTGTGTGTGTATACTGTGTGTGTGTGTGTGTACTGTGTGTGTGTATACTGTGTGTGTGTATACTGTGTGTGTGTATACTGTGTGTTATCTAACTTACTCTGTCTCCCCCTGGCACCCTTCAGGCTCTAGAGGAGGCCCTGAACCTGCACCCTCACCCCTCCTCCTCCTCCCAGCAGCCACTGGGCCAGGGCACCAGCGGTAACCACGGCGAAGGGCCTAGTAACTTGAGGAGCCAGGAGCTGCTCACTCAGATATTAGTGTTAAAGGAACAGGTTAGTCTGACACCCTTTCTGCGCTAATTGATCCATTTCAGTGATTGGATACATTTCGCGGATCAACTGGCAAGTGTCTTCACTGACATTTTCAACCTGTCCCTGGCCGAGTCTGTAATACCTACATGTTTCAAGCAGACCAACATAATCCTTGTGCCCAAGAACGTGAAGGTAACCTGCCTAAATGACTACCGCCCCGAAGCACTCATGTCGGTAGCCATGAAGTGCTTTGAAAGGCTGGTCATGGCTCACATCAACACCATCATCCCGGATACCCTAGACCCACTTCAATTCGCACTCCACACTGCCCTTTCCCACCTGAACAAGAGGAACACCTATGTGAGAATGCTGTTCATTGACTACAGTTCAGCGTTCAACACCATGGTGCCCTCAAAGCTCATCACTAACCTAAGGACCCTGGGACTGAACACCTCCCTCTGCAACTGGATCCTGGACTTCCTGACGGGCCACCCCTAGGTGGTAAGGGTAGGCAACAACACATCTGCCACGCTGATCCTCAACACGGGGGCTTGCTTAGTCCCCTCCTGTACTCCCTGTTCACCCGTGACTGCGTGGCCAAGCACAAATCCAACATCACCATTAAGTTTGCTGACGACACAACAGTGGTAGGCCTATCACCGACAACGATGAGACAGCCGATAGGGAGGAGGTCAGAGTCCTGGCAGTGTGGTGCCAGGACAACAACCTCTCCCTCAATGTGATCAAGACAAAGGAGCTGATCATGGACTACAGGAAAAGGAGGGCCGAACACGCCCCCATTCACATCAACGGGGCTTTAGTGGAGCGTGTCGAAAGCTTCAAGTTCCTTGGTGTCCACATCACCAACCAAACTATCATGGTCCAAACACACCAAGAAAGTCGTGAAGAGGGCATGACAAAGCCTATTCCCCCTCAGGAGACTGAAAAGATTTGGCATGGGTCCTCAGATCCTCAAAAAGTTATAGAGATGCACCATCGAGAGCATCCTGACCAGTTGCATCACCGCCTGGTATAGCAACTGCTCGGCATCAGACCGTAAGGTGCTACAGAGGGTAGTGCGTACGGCCCAGTACATCACTGGGGCCAAGCTTCCTGCCATCCAGGACCTATATACAGTGAGGGGAAAAAAGTATTTGATCCCCTGCTGATTTTGTATGTTTGCCCACTGACAAAGAAATGATCAGTCTATAATTTTAATGGTAGGTTTATTTGAACAGTGAGAGACAGAATAACAACAAAAACATCCAGAAAAACGCATGTCAAAAATGTTATAAATTGATTTGCATTTTAATGAGGGAAATAAGTATTTGACCCCCTCTCAATCAGAAAGATTTCTGGCTCCCAGGTGTCTTTTTATACAGGTAACGAGCTGAGATTCGGAGCACACTCTTAAAGGGAGTGCTCCTAATCTCAGTTTGTTACCTGTATAAAAGACACCTGTCCACAGAAGCAATCAATCAATCAGATTCCAAACTCTCCACCATGGCCAAGACCAAAGAGCTCTCCAAGGATGTCAGGGACAAGATTGTAGACCTACACAAGGCTGGAATGGGCTACAAGACCATCGCCAAGCAGCTTGGTGAGAAGGTGACAACAGTTGGTGCGATTATTCGCAAATGGAAGAAACACAAAAGACCTGTCAATCTCCCTCGGCCTGGGGCTCCATGCAAGATCTCACCTCGTGGAGTTGCAATGATCATGAGAACGGTGAGGAATCAGCCCAGAACTACACGGGAGGATCTTGTCAATGATCTCAAGGCAGCTGGGACCATAGTCACCAAGAAAACAATTGGTAACACACTACGCCGTGAAGGACTGAAATCCTGCAGCGCCCGCAAGTTCCCCCTGCTCAAGAAAGCACATATACAGGCCCGTCTGAAACTTGCCAATGAACATCTGAATGATTCAGAGGAGAACTGGGTGAGAGTGTTGTGGTCAGATGAGACCAAAATCGAGCTCTTTGGCATCAACTCAACTCGCCGTGTTTGAAGGAGGAGGAATGCTGCCTATGACCCCAAGAACACCATCCCCACCGTCAAACATGGAGGTGGAAACATTATGCTTTGGGGGTGTTTTTCTGCTAAGGGGACAGGACAACTTCACCGCATCAAAGGGACGATGGACGGGGCCATGTACCGTCAAATCTTGGGTGAGAACCTCCTTCCCTCAGCCAGGGCATTGAAAATGGGTTGTGGATAGGTATTCCAGCATGACAATGACCCAAAACACACGGCCAAGGCAACAAAGGAGTGGCTCAAGAAGAAGCACATTAAGGTCCTGGAGTGGCCTAGCCAGTCTCCAGACCTTAATCCCATAGAAAATCTGTGGAGGGAGCTGAAGGTTCGAGTTGCCAAATGTCAGCCTCGAAACCGTAATGACTTGGAGAAGATCTGCAAAGAGGAGTGGGACAAAATCCCTCCTGAGATGTGTGCAAACCTGGTGGCCAACTACAAGAAACGTCTGACCTCTGTGATTGCCAACAAGGGTTTTGCCACGAAGTACTAAGTCATGTTTTGCAGAGGGGTCAAATACTTATTTCCCTCATTAAAATGCAAATCAATTTATAACATTTTTGACATGCGTTTTTCTGGATTTTTTAGTTGTTATTCTGTCTCTCACTGTTCAAATAAACCTACCATTAAAATTATAGACTGATCATGTCTTTGTCAGTGGGCAAACGTACAAAATCAGCAGAGTATCAAATACTTTTTTCCCTCACTGTACTAGGCGGTGTCAGAGGAAAGCCCAAACAATTGTCAAAGACTCCAGTCACCCAAACCATAGACTGTTCTCTCTGCTACCGCACGGTAAGCAGTACCGGAGTGCCAAGTCTAGGTCCAAAAGGCTCCTTAACAGCTTCAACCCCCAAGCCATAAGACTGCTGAACAATTAATCAAATGGCCACCTGGACTATTTACAATATCTGCATAGTCACTATACCCCTACCTAACTACATGTACAAATTACCTGGACTAACCTGTACCCCCGCACATTGACTCTGTACCGGTACCCCCTGTATGTAGCCTCGTTATTGTGTTTTTTAAACTTTAGTTTATTTAGTAAATATTTTCTTAACTCTATTTTCTTAACTACATTGTTGGTTAAGGGCTTGTAAGTAAGCATACACCTGTTGTATTCGGCGCATGTGACACACCATTTTATTTGATTTCACCTACCTGGTGTCCCAGGTCTACCGCAAAATAGTTGAACTCACCAACTTATTACCCAATATAATCATCATCCCTCACCAACTTATTACCCAAGATAATCATCATCCCTCACCAACTTATTACCCAAGATAATCATCATCCCTCACCAACTTATTACCCAAGATAATCATCATCCCTCACCAACTTATTACCAGAGGTAATCATCATCCCTCACCAACTTATTACCCAAGATAATCATCATCCCTCACCAACTTATTACCCAAGATAATCATCATCCCTCACCAACTTATTACCCGAGGTAATCATCATCCCTCACCAACTTATTACCAGAGATAATCATCATCCCTCACCAACTTATTACCAGAGATAATCATCATCCCTCACCAACTTATTACCCGAGGTAATCATCATCCCTCACCAACTTATTACCAGAGATAATCATCATCCCTCACCAACTTATTACCCAAGATAATCATCATCCCTCACCAACTTAGTACCCGAGATAATCATCATCCCTCACCAACTTATTACCCAAGATAATCATCATCCCTCACCAACTTATTACCCGAGGTAATCATCATCCCTCACCAACTTAGTTCCCGAGGTAATAATCATCCCTTTGCTGTATCTACTCTCTCAGGTGAAGATCTTTGAGGAAGACTTTAGGAAAGAGCGGAGCGACAGGGAACGAATGAACGAGGAAAAGGAGGACTTGAGGAGACAGGTGGAGAGACTGCAGGGTCAGATGACCAACCTCACCAATCAGGTTAGGAGCTGCTTTCTACTAGGGCTGTGTCCCAAGTGGCACCCTATTCCATATGTAGTGCACTACTTTTGACCTGAACCCTATGGGCCCTGGTCAAAAGTAGTGCACTGTATAGGGAATAGGGTGCCACTTGGGACACAGACTGTTTCACAGCACTTTGCATTGAATAGGGAGGTTCTCATCTCTTCCACCTCAATGTGTTGGTTTTCCTGACGTGTTCATCCATTTCTGTTGGCTTGTTCCTCTGTCAGCTTCACCCGGCCCAGAACGAGTGTTCGAGAGAGAGAACAGAGAGATGCAAGCTGGAGAGACCACAGATGCAGCATCATAAACGGGTACTGTAGTCACCAGGCCTCAGTCCCTTCTCATCTCCCACTATAGACAGCTTGGCTTCAAATGGCCGTGGTGAACCTAGTCAATTAGCACCGGTATTATAGGTTAACCCCCTCAGTCCATCAGACTGGCACAGACAGACAGACAGACAGATTGTCTTCACATGGCTGTGGTGGTAAACCTATCAGACTAGTTCTCCCTAGCACTTAAAGACATTCCTGAAGTAATGACAGCAGTAGGATGGATTTTTCTCCTGATTAGATAAGTACAAATGGCTGTGTGCTGTGCTTCGCTTCCTTCCAGTCTGTTTGAGGAGCACCAACTCGGGCTGTGCTTTACTCTCAAACTAGTGGAACATTCCTCTGCCTGGCTGAAAACAACTCCTCCGTATTTGCAGACGTAGATCAACTAGATCTGTTGCATAAATCCAAGTGACTGGGCGCTGTGCTTCTTCTACCTGGCTGCTTACATTTACATTTACATTTTAGTCATTTAGCAGACGCTCTTATCCAGAGCGACTTACAGTTAGTGAATATATATATTTTTTTTTATACTGGCCCCCTGTGGGAATCGAACCCACAACCCTGGCGTTGCAAACGCCATGCTCTATCAACTGAGCTACATCCCTGCCGGCCATTCCCCTCCCCTACCCTGGACGACGCTGGGCCAATTGTGCGCCGCCCCATGAGTCTCCCGGTCGCGGCCGGCTGCGACAGAGCCTGGATTCGAACCAGGATCTCTAGTGGCACAGTTAGCACTGCGATGCAGTGCCTTAGACCACTGCGCCACCCTGCCTTACTCTGCTCTGACCGGGGTTACCACGGTGTGTGTGTCCCTAATGGACCCCTAGCCACCACTCCTAGATCATAGCTACTGACAGAGGAGCTTTTTCTCCTTGCCACTATACATATACTTGCTCTTTGGAAGCTTAGGCCGGGTTACCGTAAAGCACTTTGACAAATTATGTAAAAAGGACTATGAATAAAAATGTGATTGACTGACATTTGTGCTCTCTGTTCTGCTTTGGTCCATCAGGGATTCCCGTGGCAGTCGCCGTTCCCCCATCCCAGAGGCTCCAGGGGGCCCGTAGCAGGAGCAGGGGACGGATCCAGACCACCTCCAGAGAACATGGGTATGCGGACACAATTTATGGCTATGGAAAAGGGTTGCAAAATTCTTGTAACATTTCCAAAATTCCCAGGTTTTCCAGAAAACCTGTGTCGTGGAAATTTGCCACCTAGAGACACCTGAAGTCAATTTTAAATGAATCATTCTTTATTATCAGCAAGCTGGAGAGGTCACATTCAAACTTGGATGCATAAAGTACCGGTCTGAAGTGAGCTGTACCGGGGCAGTCCCATTAGTTCCCTTATATACTGCTTACACAGACAAGTAATATTTGCATGATTTAGCTTATTCATAATTAATTCATCATTTAACGTTTGGTTCATGCATGTGACCGACAAATAACTCACGAGGCTTCTTCTCTCCAAGCTGAAACTTTGAAACTGAGATACCCCTTTTCGTTCTCAAAACAATGTTCTGGGCGTACTGCCAAATTGCAGATACTGATAGTGGGGATTCCTCCCAGGCACAATCAATCAGTCACTTGCATGAACCCAGTCGAATTGGTTATTAGAAAAGCACAAACATAATATTTTCCTTCACATTCCCTCGTCTTATCACTTCAGTGATAATAATCGTTACATTTTAAAGGAAGCATTAGATTATAGCTTCTATTAAAAGGTTATATACTTCTATTAAAGTAAGGGAAATCAACACATTAAACCAGACACTTCATCATTTCAAACCCTTCATTCTGGGTTATACAATATAATTAGTATGGGAATACTATCATCATAATAAAGGTTATACTTTTATTAACAGGAGTGAATCTATCAAAAAAAAACTTTTTCCTTCACACCTGGTTTGGAGAGCACCTGGAATCAGGATGCATAAGCAGGAAATCCTGAATCCTCCAATCAGGATGTCTGGTTGGGAAGGTTACTGTAATTTTGCAACCCTACCAGGGAAACATGCTTTTTTTTTTTAGCAAATCTCTCGCTTTCTTTCTCTCTCTCATCCATTCACAAACGGTCTCTTTCACTTTCCCATTCTGTCTCTCTCGCTTTTTCTGTTGTTCTTTGATTGGCTGATTTTTGTGTGATCAATGAGAGGTTAAACCTTTTCCTCTATTCGGTCTATAGATCAGTCCACAGCAACTGGGTTTGGAAAAAGAGAACGACAGAATATTGACCCTGGAAAGCACTAAGGGCCTCTCCACCTCTCGTTCCCTCACCATGGGACCAGCTGGGTGGTAGAAGCATGAATCAGTTTTCAGTTGACCAGGTGTGATTTGAACTATCATTTTCCTACAGAACTGTAGATATCCTGTTGTAATGTTGTTTATACTTGCCTTTTTATAAGCACACTTGTGAAACAGTTTTCGCTATTCAGAAATATATTACATGAATATTATTATTTAGATTTGTTTCTTTTTTTTAACCTCATAATATTTTTTTTGAGATTCAATATCTGCTTCATATGATTCTATGCAGGAACTGAAGTCATTTGTTTAATAGGTTGAAATGATGAAAATGTAATATACCTATGCGATTATCAGCTATTTTACAAAAGCTGTTTTGTTACTAGTAGGGTTAAGGGGTCCTATTCACCCCATGTCAATAACAACCAATACTACTTGTATTCATTCCAACGATATATAATTATATAGGTAAATTGCCTTGGAATTGGAATCATAGAATCGGAACCGTGGATGTTTTTTCTTTTTTGTACCATTTTGTGTTCTAGAACTGTACAATAAAGTGTAACTGTTCAAAAGGTGATTGTTATAATACAAAACTTGGGAAGTGAATTTAGCTGGTATATCATGCCAAAAAACATGGTTGTGGTGATTATTGATAATTTATTTATAATCTACTGTTTTGATGGTTGCATTGACTAAATGTAAATCACTTGTCTTTTTTAGTAATGCTGTTGTTTCTGTTGGCGTATTCCCAATATATTGTAGCTATTGACATCGTGTGTTCGTAAACACATACACCCTCACAAGAGCACCTGATTGGCCAAAAATGATGTCATTTCAATGCAGCACCTTTTTTGATTTCATTGGGTTAAATATTTGATCATCGATTCCAATATGGATACACGTCCTCAACATATTTACCCCCAAAGGTGTCCAGTCATGTCTGGAGGATTGGGTCGTAGGTCGTAGTGTACCCAGGCTTTGTCCCAATGGTCTTGGAATGGTTTCCTTTCCTTCCCTACTGCTGACCGTTGATAGTACTACTGTAGGGTGTATTCATGTTCTGGTTGCTGTAAACGTTAGCCTACCTGAGCGCTCTGCTAGTATGTGCATTTTATATGGAGTTAACAGGGTATGATTGGTCTCCATCATATTGCTTTAACCTGTCCGTCATGTCCTTTTTGAATCAGTCAGAGGCGAGGAAATTAAGCTATTTAAAACGGAGACTCGGCTAACCCTAAGGCTCCGTGTCATAGTCAGCAATACCTCAGCACAGTGATAAACCACCTCAGCCAGACAAGGGGGCTGCTTCCCAAATGACACACTATTCCCTATATAGTGCACTACTCTTGGCCGACGCTCCCGGCAATATAGGGAATGGGGTGCCGTTTGGGTCACATTCCTGACTCCGCTGGCTTCTGTCTCGATCCACCTCTAAGACCAGCGACTCCATACTAACGCCTATTTATCTACGGTGTCGATCCGACAGTCCTGTGAACCCCCCGAGACTGGAAGTAGAGCCGGCTTGAATTCCAAACCCAGCCCTGTACCTTACCTTACCCCAGGTACCTCTGTTGATCTGAGAGGATTGGATAGGTGTTGGCAAAATGGCGGCAACTCATTTTACGACAAGGTGGTTTTATTATTACCATATTGCTTATACCTTGCCAATGCTTTATCTCCACTAGTGTCTGGAGTTTAGGGGGTGAGGGGTTGATTTGGAATTGGGTCACTACCCTAGAGCTCCAATCCTACTGATGTGTGATTTTGATTTGGTGGTGAACTAATGTGTTATGTATCTCCTCTAAATCAAACCAATAACACAAAGCTGTATAGGGTTGAATATGTATAGTATTATAATCCTTATTGTGCTTGTTTCATTCAGACTGCTGGTAAAGATGGGTGTTTATTCACAGTAAATAGTTGGAACAGCCTTTCTTTTTTTTTTTTTTTTTTAAGACAGATTCCAGAATGGTCCAATAGTTTAATGGAGATGTTTAAAGGTTGAATTGCACTTTGAAAGGAATGCTTTGTTTTCCTCTGGCAGTTGTCTTTTTCTGGTTTGTAGTTCTGGAGTTTTGCAGGAGGCAAAAGCACATTACTGATGTGATGAGACTTTTTGTATTTGACTGGCTTAATAAACATATCCTTAAATGTCTTTGTATATCTTACTCTGGTGTTCATTTTCATTTAAGTTTTTGTCTTTGTTTCAACTCAAAATAACAGATTCTCTTAACAACCCATTGTTGCCCTTAAGTTGACCTAGACATTTTGTGAAAGCATTTGAGTGGCCACACATACCACAGTGCATCATCGTTTACAGGAAGAAGTTGGCACCACGCCCCATGTTGCATTGACGTGATTTATTGACATGAATGAGTCGGGCAGCAGCAGTTGGGTAACAGGCGTCTGATCTGGGTAGTAGGACCAGGAGGTAGCAGGGCTCCCAGGGTTACCAGGCCCAGCCTGAATGCACTGAAGGACTGGCCTGGACCCTAGACTCAGGCTTGGCACCACAGAATCACTGTTTTCAAGCCTCGCCTTCATACGACATGCCACCTCCTTATGACCAGCAACCCCTTACCCTGTACCACCACAGACAACCGTTCATTTCAACTGATTTACATTTCTTCTTTCAGCTGGTTTCTAGAAGTTCTACTCTACACATGGTTTGTATTGGGTTTTTTTACAAGGGGAACATTTCATTTTTTTTTTTTAAAGGATGGAAAAAGTGTTGGTTTCCCTGATACAGATTAAGCCTACTCCTGAAATAAAATTAAAGCATGCTCATTGGAGAATTTCCATTGGAAGTGCTTTTTAGTCCAGAAAGAAGCTTAATCTGAATCCTGGAAACCGTTCCACTGTGTTTTCATGTATCTAAAGGGTCAATCTAATACATCTGTAGAATGTTCAAATTCAGCCTATCAGGGTTGGGATGAATTCCATTTCAATTCAGGAATTTACTCAACTGAAATGGAATTGACCCCAGCCCTGATGACAACACAGGCTGTCCCAAATGACACCCTATTCCTATATAATGCATAACCTTTGACCAGAACCTTTTAGGCCCTGGTCAATTGGAGAATTTCCAGTAACGCACTACATAGGGAATAGGGTGTCATTTGGGACGCCTTAGTCGATGTTCTGCTGGGTGGACTGGGAGAAGAGTTGACTGAAGTATTTGATGATGTCCATCCGAACCTCGGACACTGTGACCCGGGGGAACCACCTCATCACAGGCTTTCCGTCTGGTCCGACCAGGAACTTCTCAAAGTTCCACTTGATGTCGTTCATCTTCAGGGGCTCCCAGAACAGCCTGTTGGTGGGGTTCCCAAAGCTGTCCCCTACTGGTGGGCAGGAGTTCTAGAAGGCAGGATTATAGGGTTAGAACAGTTCTGGAATCCAGGATTATAGGGTTAGAACAGTTCTGGAAGGCAGGGTTAGAACAGTTCTAGAAGGCAGGATTATAGGGTTAGAACAGTTCTAGAAGGCAGGGTTAGAACAGTTCTAGAAGGCAGGATTATAGGGTTAGAACAGTTCTAGAAGGCAGGATTATAGGGTTAGAACAGTTCTAGAATACAGGGTTAGAACAGTTCTAGAAGGCAGGGTTATAGGGTTAGAACAGTTCTGGAAGGCAGGGTTAGAACAGTTCTAGAAGGCAGGGTTATATGGTTAGAACAGTTCTAGAAGGCAGGGTTATAGGGTTAGAACAGTTCTAGAAGGCAGGGTTATATGGTTAGAACAGTTCTAGAAGACAGGGTTATAGGGTTAGAACAGTTCTAGAAGGCAGGGTTATATGGTTAGAACAGTTCTAGAAGGCAGGGTTATAGGGTTAGAACAGTTCTGGAAGGCAGGGTTATAGGGTTAGAACAGTTCTGGAAGGCAGGGTTAGAACAGTTCTAGAAGGCAGGGTTATAGGGTTAGAACAGTTCTGGAAGGCAGGGTTATAGGGTTAGAACAGTTCTGGAAGGCAGGGTTATAGGGTTAGAACAGTTCTAGAAGACAGGGTTATAGGGTTAGAACAGTTCTAGAAGACAGGGTTAGAACAGTTCTAGAAGACAGGGTTAGAACAGTTCTAGAAGGCAGGGTTATAGGGTTAGAACAGTTCTGGAAGGCAGGGTTATAGGGTTAGAACAGTTCTAGAAGACAGGGTTATAGGGTTAGAACAGTTCTAGAAGACAGGGTTAGAACAGTTCTAGAAGACAGGGTTAGAACAGTTCTAGAAGGCAGGGTTATAGGGTTAGAACAGTTCTGGAAGGCAGGGTTAGAACAGTTCTAGAAGGCAGGGTTATAGGGTTAGAACAGTTCTAGAAGACAGGGTTATAGGGTTAGAACAGTTCTAGAATACAGGGTTAGAACAGTTCTAGAAGACAGGGATATAGGGTTAGAACAGTTCTAGAAGGCAGGGTTATAGGGTTAGAACAGTTCTAGAAGGCAAGGTTATAGGGTTAGAACAGTTCTAGAAGACAGGGTTATAGGGTTAGAACAGTTCTAGAAGGCAGGGTTATAGGGTTAGAACAGTTCTAGAAGACATGGTTAGAACAGTTCTAGAAGACATGGTTAGAACAGTTCTAGAAGACAGGGTTATAGGGTTAGAACAGTTCTAGAAGGCAGGGTTAGAACAGTTCTAGAAGACATGGTTAGAACAGTTCTAGAAGACAGGGTTATAGGGTTAGAACAGTTCTAGAAGACAGGGTTATAGGGTTAGAACAGTTCTAGAAGACAGGGTTATAGGGTTAGAACAGTTCTAGAAGACATGGTTAGAACAGTTCTAGAAGACAGGGTTATAGGGTTAGAACAGTTCTAGAAGGCAGGGTTATAGGGTTAGAACAGTTCTAGAAGACAGGGTTATAGGGTTAGAACAGTTCTAGAAGGCAGGGTTATAGGGTTAGAACAGTTCTAGAAGACAGGGTTATAGGGTTAGAACAGTTCTAGAAGACAGGGTTAGAACAGTTCTAGAAGACAGGGTTATAGGGTTAGAACAGTTCTAGAAGACATGGTTAGAACAGTTCTAGAAGACAGGGTTATAGGGTTAGAACAGTTCTAGAAGACAGGGTTAGAACAGTTCTAGAAGACAGGGTTATAGGGTTAGAACAGTTCTAGAAGACATGGTTAGAACAGTTCTAGAAGACAGGGTTATAGGGTTAGAACAGTTCTAGAAGACATGGTTAGAACAGTTCTAGAAGGCAGGGTTATAGGGTTAGAACAGTTCTAGAAGGGCAGGGTTTTCATAGGGGTTAGAACAGTTCTAGAAGACAGGGTTATAGGGTTAGAACAGTTCTAGAAGGGCAGGGTTATAGGGTTAGAACAGTTCTAGAAGACAGGGGTTATAGGGTCTTTAGAAACAGTTCTAGAAGACAGGGTATAGGGTTAGAACAGTTCTAGAAGGCAGGGTTATAGGGTGTTCTAGAACAGTTCTAGAAGACAGGGTTATAGGGTTAGAACAGTTCTAGAAGACAGGGTTATAGGGTTAGAACAGTTCTAGAAGACAGGGTTAGAACAGTTCTAGAAGACGGGGTTAGAACAGTTCTAGAAGACGGGGTTAGAACAGTTCTAGAAGACATGGTTAGAACAGTTCTAGAAGACAGGGTTAGAACAGTTCTAGAATACGGGGTTAGAACTAGGGTTGGGCAGGTTGTGTTGTCCTCATAAGGATTTTACTGGAGGTACAGCAAGGATCCCATGTCATACTCTCTTTGGCCAGACAGCATCAGATACATGGGCTACAAATACATATATATATATATATATATATATATATATATATAAAGCATGGCTTCCCTTGGCATCCACTGTAGTAGGTCTAAAGACAATCACTGAATGTCATTCCACTGTTTAACAGATGTCTATTTCCATTCATCTAATGGCGCATGCACAGTGCACTGTTTGGATGCTGGAATTATTTTGGAGTGGACGAACACACCCAGCTGCAGGTAGCCTACTTTCTGAAGTGATTTGTTTAACAATCAGATGAAAACATAATGACTGGTTGTGTTCATGCCACATTAAAAGGTAATACAGTTTTACCATTAAATAACATGCCTTTTAGGCCTATTAAAAAGCTGTGTACCCAATAGTTCCCCCTGAATGTCACGGTATAATTCCCACTCTGTGTATCCCCGTTGCAAATGTGTTAAACGGTGATTTTGAATTCAGTCAGGATTATAGTGGGACGTAAGTCGCCCACAAAGTGTTATTGACCCGCTGTACACTCGGATGACAACAATAATCACTTGTAGGATGGCAGATTTCTGGTAACTTTCCCAAAATGTTCCAGTTTTCCAGAAGTCCTGGTTGGAGATTTTTGGATTTCTTGCTTATTCCCTCGTGATTCCAGAAATCTACTAACCAGGATTTCTGTAAAACGTGGAAATTTGGGGTGTGTGTCCAGATTTTTGCAACCCTAATCACTTGCTTACTTTGAGGAAGGTGTAGACTCCTTGTTCTGTGTCTCCGTTCACATCCCCTCTCTGGAATAGCAGGAAGTTTGGAACGAAACCATTTCCTGGTCGGACATGCCTGGAACCCAAGGGGAGAGAGATACGCTTATCACTGGCGTGCTTCCCAAATGGCACCCTATTCCCTATATAGTGTGTTACTTTTGACCAGGCCCCATAAGGCTCTGGTCAAAAATAGTGCACTATTTAGGGAATAGGGTGCCATTTGGGACACAATCATGGCCTAGACATGCTTTTGAGCACTTAACGGACCTTTATAATGGGTGCCTCACTCACTCACTCACTAAGCTATTGCCCTAGATAGATAGACTATATGACACGAACACGAACCACAACACTGTTAAGCCTCTTATACGTACAAACTCTGCTTTTACCAGAGGTTAACAACCCAAATGTACTGAAGGCAGACGCTGGTGAAACCAGGGTTTCTAGTCCGGTGTACTTGGGGTTTAAGCTGGCCAGGAATAGAGTCTGGGTGAGGGTGGGCTAGGGGGACCAGATAACATAGGAATGTTATATACGCCTCAGAGAGGGTTATACCTTAGGGATTTGTATATCGCTCCTGGGATGTTTTTCCCAAACTAAATGAAGCTCTGTTGATTGACAGAGGATTAGCCTTTATTGCTGTCTTGTTGCCTGCATTCAGGCATGCAGGACCCTTGCATTAGTTTCAGGTTTATTTCCCCTACGTAATAAAAACATTGGTCAAGTACATCGTATACATTACACCATTTTGTATGTGTATTTTAACCCCCTAAGGTCGATGTCCGCGCCACAGCTGATATTTTAATTAGCGTAATAATACAATCCCCATCAGAATCCGTCAGTTGAATGACTTAAGTTTTTCATGCTAACGGGTCTCGGAGACAAAACAATACTTACTTTAGAGTGGCCAGAATCTCATGATTCTCTCCTGGCTCCTGTTTTCCAAACTGATTGGAGGGGAACCCGAGAATGGTGAACCCATAATCCTTCATCTCCTCGTGTAGTGCATTCAACTCTGGTTAGATCACACACACACACACACACACACACACACACACACACACACACACACACACACACACACACACACACACACACACACACACACACACACACACACACACACACTGCTGGATTAAAGGTTTCATAATAGAAGATAACACAACAACTAGATCAATCCCATAAACCCTTGGGGTAACTTGAGGTCAAAATAAGATTTCAAAACGATGCACAGTGAGTAGGGTGTATCCTAATGTTTTTCCTGATCTGGTCACATATGGACTAGCCTCTTTCTCTTTGTTGCAGACTGCTTTAAGGGCTCCATTCAATCAGATCCACTTTAGCCGACATCTGCATTGCGGTTGTTTTGGCGTGTCGGAGGTGGAACTGCGTTAGCGCTGTCAAATCCACAAGTGGCTCCCGGCATTACACCTAAAGCGGACTTTGCCATTGGCTGCACGGAGTCACATGAACAGAAATCTCATGCGGCCTTGTTTACATGTTCAACACTGGAATGTGAGATGTGATCTACACCTCCTTTAGGATGATAGAAATCGTCATTGTTTTGTTGAATGATTTTTCTATTTCAGCGTCATTGTTTCCATACAGCCTACACTTTCTCATTCTGAACTTCTAATGCAAGTGGGGTGGGTGTGGACTCCTTAAAATGATCGCAGAGAGCAGCTGCTCACCGATTTGACGGCTCCAATGCAGTTCCACCTCCGACACTGCCATAACATCTGCTATGGGGGTGTCTGCTATCGCTGGTTAACGCTTGATCTGATTGAATTTAGACCTCAGTCAGTCAAGCCTGTTAATCTATGTATGGACCTGCTCATTGTAAGAGGTATTTACAGTGAATCAGGTTGTGGGGATAAACTAAGTGTGGGTGGTATCCAGATTTTCATACCGCCATACCGTTTCTGTACCATACCAGGGTATACCGAATGTGCACACAAGGGGGCGCTATAAAAAACAACAATTTAGGCAACAAGGATATTGATCCAGGAGGGGATTGAACATCTCTGCTGTAACCAAGAAGCTTGATCTTGACAGCTAGCCACTTAGCTAGCAAGTTAACCAAATGCATAGCTGGAAATAATTTATTTGACACATCTTAGATTTCTTATATTTATAAGCATTGGCGTAGCACGCAGTCCCGGCGAGGTGGGGTACGCCCCTGTGAGGCGGTATTGAAAATCATACAGTGCAGGCCTCCCGAGTGGCGCAGCAGTCTAAGGCAGTGCTTGAGACATCACTACAGCCCCAGGTTCGATCCCAGGCTGTGTCACAGCCGGCCGTGACCGGAAGACCCATGAGGCGGCGCACAATTGGCTCAGCGTCGTCCGGGTTAGGGGAGGGTTTGGCCGGCCGGGATTTCCTTCTCCCATCGTGCTCTAGCGACTCATTGTGGCGGGCCGAGCGCCTGCAAGCTGACTTCGGTCATCAGTTGGATGGTGTTTCCTCCGACACATTAGTGCTTCCAGGTTAAGCGAGCAGTGTTTCAAGAAGCAGTGCGGCTTGGTAGGGTCGTGTTTCGGAGCACATGGCTCTCGACCTTCGCCTATCCCGAGTCCCTAGGGGAGTTGCAGTGATGTGACAAGACTGTAACTACCGATTGAATATCACGAAATGGGGGAGAAAAAAGGGGTAAAAGTATGAAAAATATATATATATAAAAAAAATCATAACGTTGGTATTTCAAAATACCAAGGTAAACTCTACTGTTAGCTGGCTCAACTGTTAGCCTACTGTTAGCTAATTCAACTGTTAGCCTACTGTTATACTGTTAGTCTTAAGCCAGACAGTCTTACCCAGGTACTGGAAGGTGAGTCCTCAGTAAGTGGCTACGTTGACGAAGAGGACGGTCTTCCCCATGTACTCACTGAGGGAGACTGAACGACTCCCATTCAGGGTCTTAGCTTTGTAGTTATAGATGGTGCCATCTTTGGATGGGTCACACACCTGAGGATCAACACACACACACACACACACACACACACACACACACACACACACACACACAGTGTCTGCTGGTTTTAGTTTTTTCCTTTCAATTAAGACCTAATTGAAAGGAGTTCCTTACTAAGACCTAGACAACCAGGTGAGGGGCACTCTGACAATGAGAATGGTAAACAACCGTAATAATAATATATTGAATGAATGAACAGAAATTACCATTAAAAACTAACAATTAAATTATGAAACAATTAATGTGCACGAATTGGCGGGAGAGAGCGCATTCTGGAGAGACGTGCCTTAGCCACACTCCCCTTCTTCTTGACTCAACATTTAAAAGTATACCCAAGACACAATATCCTTACACATAGGCTTACTATAGGCCTAAGTAATACTCTCACAAACGGTGGCAGGTCCAAAGCAGTAGCAATTTATGGAAAACCAATGCAATTTCACTTATTTTCTAAATGTTATCAAATTGCTTGGCTACCAAAACAAATACCCTCGCGGCACGCATGGTTTACGGACTGTTCCGTCCCGGTGGCCTCCGCCATGGATTAGTCCACTGAGACAGGTAGGCGTCTCGTGTGCCATGAAAACTGCTTGACTAAAAAAAGTCTCAGTCCACCAACAGCCTATTTGTGGTTGTGGTCCTCTGTAGCTCAGCTGGTAGAGCACGGCGCTTGTAACGCCAAGGTAGTGGGTTCGATCCCCGGGACCACCCATACACAAAAATGTATGCACACACGACTGTAAATCGCTTTGGATAAAAGCGTCTGCTAAATAGCATATTATTATTACAATCAACCAGTCAACAAAATGGGGTCAGCTCTAATTTTATCTATCATTTTTTTTATTCTCTGCTTTGACAAAAAAAAAAAAGGTCGTTGTATAATTAAGACAGTACCTTGCGGGATTAAATAGTTGGAATTGTAAGAGTTGTTGCCCTGTCGCTTTCTGTAAGAGTTGTTACCCTGTCCCTTTCTGTAAGAGTTGTTACCCTGTCGCTTTCTGTAAGAGTTGTTACCCTGTCGCTTTCTGTAAGAGTTGTTACCCTGTCCCTTTCTGTAAGAGTTGTTACCCTGTCGCTTTCTGTAAGAGTTGTTACCCTGTCGCTTTCTGTAAGAGTTGTTACCCTGTCGCTTTCTGTAAGAGTTGTTGTCCTGTCCCTTTCTGTAAGAGTTGTTACCCTGTCGCTTTCTGTAAGAGTTGTTACCCTGTCGCTTTCTGTAAGAGTTGTTTCCCTGTCGCTTTCTGTAAGAGTTGTTACCCTGTCGCTTTCTGTAAGAGTTGTTGTCCTGTCCCTTTCTGTAAGAGTTGTTACCCTGTCGCTTTCTGTAAGAGTTGTTACCCTGTCGCTTTCTGTAAGAGTTGTTGTCCTGTCCCTTTCTGTAAGAGTTGTTACCCTGTCGCTTTCTGTAAGAGTTGTTACCCTGTCGCTTTCTGTAAGAGTTGTTTCCCTGTCGCTTTCTGTAAGAGTTGTTACCCTGTCGCTTTCTGTAAGAGTTGTTGTCCTGTCCCTTTCTGTAAGAGTTGTTACCCTGTCGCTTTCTGTAAGAGTTGTTACCCTGTCGCTTTCTGTAAGAGTTGTTTCCCTGTCGCTTTCTGTAAGAGTTGTTACCCTGTCGCTTTCTGTAAGAGTTGTTACCCTGTCGCTTTCTGTAAGAGTTGTTACCCTGTCGCTTTCTGTAAGAGTTGTTGCCCTGTCGCTTTCTGTAAGAGTTGTTGCCCTGTCGCTTTCTGTAAGAGTTGTTACCCTGTCGCTTTCTGTAAGAGTTGTTGCCCTGTCGCTTTCTGTAAGAGTTGTTACCCTGTCGCTTTCTGTAAGAGTTGTTACCCTGTCGCTTTCTGTAAGAGTTGTTGCCCTGTCGCTTTCTGTAAGAGTTGTTACCCTGTCGCTTTCTGTAAGAGTTGTTGCCCTGTCGCTTTCCCTGCAACTGTCATTCTAATGGAATCCAGAAAGAACAAAACCCTGTCCTCAAACATTTACATCAAAAGGTGCAAAGTTATGGGCAAAGACACAAAACATCCACATCAAATTAAATATTTTTCTTGATCAAATAACATGGAAAACAACCATTTTTTTTGTGCAGTATTCATTTACCATACTTACAAACCACTTAACGTACATGTACATTACTGCATTGTACATAGGCTGGTCATTCTAGGTTTGTACCTGTATACTTTCCATCACCATGAAGGAAAACAATGCACAATACAGTAATTGAGTACATTGACACGTCAAGTGGTTTGTGATGTGATGATGTGGCTCAGTTGGTAGAGCATGGTGCTTGCAATGCTAGGGTTTTAGGTTCGATTCCCATGGGGGACAAATTCGAAAAATGTATGCACTCATTGCTTTAAATTGCTCTGGATTAGAGCATTTACTAAAAAGGAATAAATAGACCATTTCAGTTTTCACATAGAAATTAGTTGCATTTGCAAAGAAACTGGAAAATATATATCAAGCAAGTATTTTTATATTACACAAGTATGATCATTATTTATATACTCAAGTTACAAATGCTGGTAGTAAAATAACAGGAGCGTTTTGCGTAATGGGATCGCGTGACGCTCCAAGGTTAGGTAAATATTTCGTTTTGTCCCCAGATAGAAATAATCAAATTTGAACAACAAGCACTGGATTGTGAAATAAACAGAATCATAATTTACTGCACAAAACGATAAAGCAAATGTGCCACCTGTAAAACTATGTCGCAATTAATTTTTCCCAACCCATATTTTCAAAGTAAATTATATTTTGTCAATCGTAATATCACTAGGCTATATAATATATGTATCCATTTACAGCAGGAATTACCTGACTGAGTGAGTCGCCTGCAGCCCATGGCTTTAACAGCCCCAGTAGTGCCAGAGGTAGGACCCACAGACTCTCCTGCATGACCCGCATCGTCACAGTGAGAGGGGACCTGTGCAGGTCCGCTCCTTTTCCTTCCTCTGGGACCTAGTTAATCATCTGTCCAGTGTGATCCCTCCCTCTCCACGCAATGACAACAAGCTGACCCACATTTCCCTCTCAGCCAATACAAATCCAGAGCCCAGTCTAATGGGGTGTTGTTTTTTTCTCCTACCTGGGTTCGTGTTGTTATCACTTTTATAGTGCTGCCGACTGCCTTTTGACAGAGTAGGCATCTAGACAGGTCAATTACCACACACTGACAAATGACAGAGGAGACATCTAGACAGGTCAGTCACCACACACTGACAAATGGCAAAAAAAGATAAATGATATTTAACAGCCTCTACCAGTTTTCTGCTGTTACCATGGGGAGCTGAGCCTCCAGCTGGCTAAACCAAAATTGGTTCAGTGAAAGTTCCCAGAACATTTGTTAGGTTGCGGCAAATGTTCTCATAAAACAAAAACTGTCCAGTTGTGGTGATGATTATAGAATGTTTGTATAAAACATTAGCCTAATGTTGCAAGAACATTCTCAGAAAAAATGTAATCTGTTCTTTAAATAATAATATAAATAATAATATGCCATTTAGCAGACGCTTTTATCCAAAGCGACTTACAGTCGTGCGTGCATACATTTTTGTGTATGGGAGAACATTTGCCGCAACCTAAAGGTTCCCAGAATGTTTTATTAGGTTGTGGGAACAGTCTGGTTAGAACATTGTGGGGACATCACAAAAGATATGTTCCCAAAATACAAAAACTGTCCAGTTGAGCGGATGATTCTACATTGTTTCTTTTAGGATGCAAAAAACATTCAACTGATGTTACAAGAACGTTCCCAGAACACATTTAGTCAGTTATTTAAAGGTTCCCAGATAGGATGCAGGCCAGGCAGCAGGCTGTTAGCCAGCCTGCCAGCTTAGTGAAGTCTGCCACTAGCAAAGACAGCATAGTCAGCTCAGCTATCCACATTGAGACCGTGTCTGTGACTCGATCTAGGTTGAGCAAAACAAAACATGGCGGTGTTCGCCTTAGCAATCACTGGAATAAAGACCTCCTACATTCCTGTCATTATTGAAAGAGATTGTGATGTCTCACATCTAAAAATAGGGTTAATTAATGTTAGATCCCTCACTTCCAAGGTAGTCATAGTCAATGAACTAATCACTGATCATAATCTTGATGTGATTGGCCTGACTGAAACATGTCTCAAGCCTAATGAATTTACTGTGTTAAATGAGGCCTCTCCTCCTGGTTACACTAGTGACCATATCCCCCGCGCATCCCGCAAAGGTGGAGGTGTTGCTAACATTTATGACAGCAAATTACAATGTACAACAACAACAAAAAAATGACTGCGTTTTCGTCTTTTGAACTTCTAGTCATGAAATCTATGCAGCCTACTCAGACCTCCTGGGCCATATACAGCGTTCCTCATGGAGTTCCCTGAATTCCTATCGGACCTTGTAGTCATGGCAGATAATATTCACATTTTTGGTGACTTTAATATTCACATGAAAAAGTCCACAGACCCACTCCAAAAGGCTTTCGGAGCCATCATCGACTCAGTGGGTTTTGTCCAACATGTCTCCGGACCTACTCATTGCCACAGTCATACCCTGGATCTAGTTTTGTCCTGTGGAATAAATATTGTGGATCTAAATGTTTTTCCTCATAATCCTGGACTATCGGACCACCATTTTATTACGTTTGCAATCGCAACAAATAACCTGCTCAGACCCCAACCAAGGATAATCAAAAGCCGTGCTATAAATTCTCGGACACCCCAAAGATTCCTAGAGGCCTTTCCAGACTCCCTCCACCTACCCAAGGACGTCGGAGTACAAAAATCGGTTAGCCACCTAACTGAGGATCTTAATTGAACTTTGCGTAATACCGTAGATGCAGTCGCACCACTAAAAACAAAAAAGATTTGACACAAGAAATTAGCTCCCTGGTATACAGAAAATACCTGAGCCCTGAAGCAAGCTTCCAGAAAATTGGAACGGAAATGACGCTCCATCAAACTGGAAGTCTTTTGAAAGACAGTACCGTGCAATATCGAAGAGCTCTCACTGCTGCTCGATCTTCCTATTTTCCCAACCTAATTAAGGAGAATAAGAACAATCCCCCCCCCCCAAAAAAAATGTTTATACTGTCGCAAAGCTAACTAAAAAGCAGCATTCAACAAGAGAGGATAGCTTTCACTTCAGCAGTGATAAATTCATGAACTTCTTCGATGAAAAGATCATGATCATTCTAAAGCAAATTACGGACTCCACTTTGAATCTTCATATTTCTCCAAAGCTCAGTTGTCCTGAGTCTGCACAGAACTGCCAGGACCTAGGATCAATGGAGACACAAGTTTTTTAATCCTGTATCTCTTGACACATTCATGAAAACAGTCATGGCCTCTAAACCGTCAAGCTGCATACTGGACCCTATTCCAACTAAACAAACTGAAAGAGCTACTTCCTGTGCTTGGCCCTCCTATGTTGAACATAATAAATGGCTCCCTATCCACCAGATGTGTACCAAACTCACTAAAAGTGGCAGTAATAAAGACTCTCTTGAAAAAGCCAAACCTTGACCTGGAAAATGTAAAAAACTAATCGGCCTATATCGAATCTCCCATTCTTTCAAAAAAAATTGAAAAAGCTGTTGCGCAGCAACTCAGTACCTTCCTGAAGACAAATAATGTACAGTTGAAGTCTGAAGTTTACATACACCTTAGCCAAAAACATTTAAACTCAGTTTTTCACAATTCCTGACATTTAATCCTAGTAAAAAGTCCCTGTTTTAGGTCAGTTAGGATCACCACTTTATTTTAAAAATGTGAAATGTCAGAATAATAGTAGAGAGAGTGATTTATTTCAGCTTTTATTTCTTTCATCACATTCCCAGTGGGTCAGAAGTTTACACACACTCAATTAGTATTTGGTAGCATTGCCTTTAAATTGTTTAACTTGGGTCAAACATTTCGGGTAGCCTTCCACAAGCTTCCCACAAATTACACAGAGCTGGTGTAACCGAGTCAGGTTTGTAGGCCTCCTTGCTCGCACACGCTTTTTCAGTTCTGCCCACAAATTGTCTATAGGATTGAGGTCAGGGCTTTGTGATGGCCACTCCAATACTTTGACTTTGTTGTCCTTAAGCCATTTTGCCACAACTTTGGAGGTATGCTTGGGGTCATTGTCCATTTGGAAGACCCATTTGCGACCAAGCTTTAACTTCCTGTCTGATGTCTTGAGATGTTGCTTCAATATATCCACATAATTTTCTTTCCTCATGATGCCATCTTTTGTAAAGTGCACCAGTCCCTCATGCAGCAAAGCACCCCCACAGCATGACGCTGCCACCCCTGTGCTTCACGGTTGGGATGGTGTTCTTCGGCTTGCAAGCAACCCCCTTTTTCCTCCAAACATAACGATGGTCATCATGGCCAAACAGTTCTATTTTTGTTTCATCAGACCAGAGGACATTTCTCCAAAAAGTACGATCTTTGTCCCCATGTGCATTAGCAAACCGTAGTCTGGCTTTTTTATGGCGGTTTTGGAGCAGTGGCTTCTTCCTTGTTGAGCAGCCTTTCAGGTTATGTCGATATAGGACTTGTTTTACTGTGGATATACAGTGGGGAGAACAAGTATTTGATACACTGCCGATTTTGCAGGTTTTCCTACTTACAAAGCATGTAGAGGTCTGTAATTTTTATCATAGGTACACTTCAACTGTGAGAGACGGAATCTCAAAAATCCAGAAAATCACATTGTATGATTTTTAAGTAATTAATTTGCATCTTATTGCATGACATAAGTATTTGATACATCAGAAAAGCAGAACTTAATATTTGGTACAGAAACCTTTGTTTGCAATTACAGAGATCATACGTTTCCTGTAGGTCTCGACCAGGTTTGCACACACTGCAGCAGGGATTTTGGCCCACTCCTCCATACAGAACTTCTCCAGATCCTTCAGGTTTCGGGGCTGTCGCTGGGCAATACGGACTTTCAGCTCCCTCCAAAGATTTTCTATTGGGTTCAGGTCTGGAGACTGGCTAGGCCACTCCAGGACCTTGAGATGCTTCTTACGGAGCCACTCCTTAGTTGCCCTGGCTGTGTGTTTCAGGTCGTTAACATGCTGGAAGACCCAGCCACGACCCATCTTCAATGCTCTTACTGAGGGGAGGAGGTTGTTGGCCAAGATCTCGCGATACATGGCCCCATCCATCCTCCCCTCAATACGGTGCAGTCGTCCTGTCCCCTTTGCAGAAAAGCATCCCCAAAGAATGATGTTTCCACCTCCATGCTTCACGGTTGGGATGGTGTTCTTGGGGTTGTACTCATCCTTCTTCTTCCTCCAAAAATGGCGAGTGGAGTTTAGACCAAAAAGCTATATTTTTGTCTCATCAGACCACATGACCTTCTCCCATTCCTCCTCTGGATCATCCAGATGGTCATTGGCAAACTTCAGACGGGCCTGGACATGCGCTGGCTTGAGCAGGGGGACCTTGCGTGCCTTGCAGGATTTTAATCCATGACGGCATAGTGTGTTACTAATGGTTTTCTTTGAGACCGTGGTCCCAGCTCTCTTCAGGTCATTGACCAGGTCCTGCCGTGTAGTTCTGGGCTGATCCCTCACCTTCCTCATGATCATTGATGCCCCACGAGGTGAGATCTTGCATGGAGCCCCAGACCGAGGGTGATTGACCGTCATCTTGAACTTCTTCCATTTTCTAATAATTGCGCCAACAGTTGTTGCCTTCTCACCAAGCTGCTTGCCTATTGCCCTGTAGCCCATCCCAGCCTTGTGCAGGTCTACAATTTTATCCCTGATGTCCTTACACAGCTCTCTGGTCTTGGCCATTGTGGAGAGGTTGGAGTCTGTTTGATTGAGTGTGTGGACAGGTGTCTTTTATACAGGTAACAAGTTCAAACAGGTGCAGTTAATACAGGTAATGAGTGGAGAACAGGAGGGCTTCTTAAAGAAAAACGAATAGGTCTGTGAGAGCCGGAATTCTTACTGGTTGGTAGGTGATCAAATACTTATGTCATGCAATAAAATGCAAATGAATTACTTAAAAATCATACAATGTGATTTTCTGGATTTTTGTTTTAGATTCCGTATCTCACAGTTGAAGTGTACCTATGATAAAAATTACAGACCTCTACATGCATTGTAAGTAGGAAAACCTGCAAAATCGGCAGTGTATCAAATACTTGTTCTCCCCACTGTAGATACTTTTGTACCTGTGTTATGATGAGTTTCTCGGGTTTCAAGTGATTAAGAATGTAAGGATGTACATATAAGATATTTAATATGGTACCATGGTTAGTTATAACAGAATAAGGACATAGCCCTGCCTCTGCCGTCTTCCAACTCCAGCACAAAGATATCCCTCAGCTTATATACACTCTGTTACAAGTTTCTTCACAAACATCTGGTACCCATCTCTGATGTTATTACTCTTTAACCCCAAGTCACTATATCCTGTCCATCAATCATTTCTAAGATCAACATCAGTAATCTCCTTTGACATAAGGAATGCAGACTCTGTGGCACCAAGCCACTTATCTACCAACTCTCCCCTGGGTCACACAACACTATGAAATGACATCATTACAACCTGTTTTTCCTCCAGCATCTTCACAAGGTCCTTTGCTGTTGTTCTGGGATTGATTTGCACTTTTCGCACCAAAGTACGTTCATCTCTAGGAGACAGAACGCGTCTCCTTCCTGAGCGGTATGACGGCTGCGTGGTCCCATGGTGTTTATACTTGCGTACTATTGTCTGTACAGATTAACGTGGTACCTTCAGGCGTTTGGAAATTGCTCCCAAGGATCAACCAGACTTGTAGAGGTCTACACATTTTTTCCTGAGGTCTTGGCTGATTTATTTTGATTTTCCCATGATGTCAAGCAAAGAGTCACTGAGTTTGAAGGTAGGCCTTGAAATACATCCACAGGTACACCTCCAATTGACTGAAATGATGTCAATTAGCCTATCAGAAGCTTCTAAAGCCATGACATCATTTTCTGGAATTTTCCAAGCTGTTTAAAGGAACAGTCAATTTAGTGATACAGTGAATTATAAGTGAAATAATCTGTCCGTAAACAATTGTTGGAAAAATTACTTGTGTCATGCACAATGTAGATGTCCTAACCGACTTGCCAAAACTATAGTTTGTTAACAAGAAATGTGTAGAGTGGTTGAAAAACTAGTTTTAATGACTCCAACCTAAGTGTATGTAAACTTCCGACTTCAACTGTATACAAAATGCTTCAGTTTGGTTTTAGACCCCATCATATCACTGAGACTGCACTCTTGAAAGTGGTAAATCACCTTTTAATGGCATCAGACCAAGGCTCTGCGTCTGTCCTCGTGCTCCTAGACCTTAGTGCTGCTTTTTGACACCATCGATCACCACATTCTTTTGGAAAGATTAGAAACCCTAATTGGTCTACACTGACAAGTTCTTGCCTGGTTTAGAACTTATCTGTCGGAAAGATATCAGTTCATCTCTGTGGATGGTTTGTCCTCTGACAAATCAATTGTAAGTTTCGGCGTTCCTCAAGGTTCCGTTTTAGGACCACGATTGTTTTCACTATATATTCTACCTCTTGGTGATGTCATTCGGAAACACAATGTTACCTTTCATTGCTATGCGGACGACACACAGCTGTACATTTCGATGTAACATGGTGAAGCCCCAAAATTGCCTAACCTGGAAGCATGTGTTTCAGACATAAGGAAGTGGATGGCGGCAAATGTTTTACTTTTAAACTCGGACAAAACAGAGATGCTACCCCAATAACACCATCCCAACCGTGAAGCATGGAGGTGGAAACATCATTCTTTGGGGATGCTTTTCTGCAAAGGGGACAGGACGACTGCACCGTATTGAGGGGAGGATGGATGGGGCCATGTATCGCGAGATCTTGGCCAACAACCTCCTTCCCTCAGTAAGAGCACTGAAGATGGGTCGTGGCTGGGTCTTCCAGCATGACAACGACCCAAAACACACAGCCAGGGCATCTAAGGAGTGGCTCTGTAAGAAGCATCTCAAGGTCCTGGAGTGGCCTAGCCAGTCTCCAGACCTGAACCCAATAGAACATCTTTGGAGGGAGCTGAAAGTCTGTATTGCCCAGCGACAGCCCCGAAACCTGAAGGATCTGGAGAAGGTCTGTATGGAGAAGGTCTTGTAAGTAGGAAAACCTGCAAAATCGGCAGTGTATCAAATACTTGTTCTCCCCACTGTATGTTCCCAAAACACAAAAACTGTCCAGTTCTGCTGATTATTACAATGTTTCTATTAGGTTACAAAAAGATTTGCCTGATGTTGCAAGAACATCAAATAAATCCTCAAACATTTCTTTAGGTTGTGGGAACATTGTGGGGATATGACAAGAAATAGGTTCCCAAAAACACTAAAACAGTCGAGTTGTGCTGATACATGTTTGTATCAGGGTGCACAAAACATTCCTTAGATTTGCAAGAATGTTGACAGAACAGCCTTTCTGAGTTCTTTAAAGGTTCCCAGAACATTTCATTAGGTTGTCAGAACAGTGTGAGTCATGGCTCACATCAACACCATTTTCCCAGAAACCCTAGACCCACTCCAATTTGTATACCGCCCCAACAGATCCACAGATGATGCAATCTCTATTGCACTCCACACTGCCCTTTCCCACCTGGACAAGAGGAACACCTACGTAAGAATGCTATTAATTGACTACAGCTCAGCGTTCAACACCATATTCCTGACGGGCCGCCTCCAGGTGGTAAGGGTAGGTAACAACACATCTGCCACGCTGATCCTCAACACGGGGGCCCCTCAGGGGTGCGTGCTCAGTCCCCTCCTGTACTCCCTGTTCAACCATGACTGCATGGCCAGGCACGACTCCAACACCATTAAGTTTGCTGACGACACAACAGTGGTAGGCCTGATCACCGACAACGATGAGACAGTCTATAGGGAGGAAGTCCGAGACCTGGCCGTGTGGTGCCAGGATAACAACCTCTCCCTCAACGTGATCAAGACAATGGAGATGATTGTGGAGATCAGGAAAAAAAAAGAGGACTGAGCACGCCCCCATTCTCATCGACGGGGTTGTAGTGGAACAGGTTGAGAGCTTCAAGTTCCTTGGTGTGCACATCACCAACGAACTATCATGGTCCAAACACACCAAGACAGTCGTGAAGAGGGCACGACAAAGCCTATTCCCCCTCAGGAGACTGAAAAGATTTGGCATGGGTCCTCAGATCCTCAAAAAGTTATACAGCTGCACCATCGAGAGCATCCTGACTGGTTGCATCAACGCCTGGTATGGCAACTACTCTGCCTCCGACCGCAAGGCACTACAGAGGGTAGTGCATACGGCCCAAATACATCACTGGGGCCAAGCTTCCTGCCATCCAGGAGCTCTATACCAGGCAGTGTCAGAGGAAGGCCCTCAAAATTGTCAAAGACTCCAACTACCCTAGTCATAGACTGTTCTCTCTGCTACCGCACGGCAAGCGGTACCGGAGCGCCAAGTCTAGGTCCAAAAGGCTTCTCAACAGCTTCTACCCCCAAGCCATAAGACTACTGAACAGCTACCAGGACTATTTGCACTGTCCCCCCACCCCCACCCCCACCCCGTCCCCCTCTTTTACGCTGCTGCTACTCTGTTTATTATCTATGCATAGTCACTTTAACTCTACCCACATGTACATATTACCTCAATTACCTCGACTAGCCGGTGCCCCCGCACATTGACTCTGCACCGGTACCCCCCTGTATATAGCCTCCCTACTGTTATTTTATTTTACTGCTGCTCTTTAGTTATTTGCTTTTTTTTTTTTTTTACTTAACACTTAAAAATATATATATATCTTTAAAAAATGCATTTTGGTTAAGGGCTTGTAAGTAAGCATTTCACTGTAATGTCTACTACACCTGTTGTATTCAGTGCATGTGGCAAATACGATTTGATTTGATTTGATCTTGGATCACTTTAGCTCTCAAAAACCCTTCTTCTCCATATGTGGGGTTTGTAGCGGTTACATTCTCTGTGTGAACTACAATTCCAACGCTGTGTTTTAACGTTTCGAAATGTCAATAATCATCTTTTCAAACCGGTTTTCGGAACATATGCTGATATCCCCCTTATCTTTTCAAAATAATCTTTCAAATAAAAAAGATCCTTACTGTAGCAGTTTTGCACAGATCCACAAGCTGTGTGTGCCTCCAGTTGAACTACACTTCCTCCCCAGTTAGCTTACACACCAGTGTTCAGAGCACGCTAGATAGCTAATTAGCACAGGTGGTCTATGTCTGGAGATATGGCAGTGTGGGAGCACTAACCCTAACCCTATAAAGATGTGCAGTAATTTAACCTTTAGTTTTTTGGGTTTTCAGTCAAATATGGTCAAATCAGGACACAGAAACACAATTTCTGAGTTATTCAAATGTTCCCATCCTCTTCATATGCTGTGTACTTTTAATTATTATTGTCTTTCTTCATCCTGTGTTGAAAGTCTTGTGAAAATCTGATTTTCCCTTTCCCCCCTCTCTCTCTCACCTCGGTCTTGTGTGTGTGTGTGTGTGTGTCTATCTGTCTACATGGATACGTGTGTAGGCTCATTACGCACCCCCTGGGGTCGACGTTGATCGAAAGAGCGATCATATAGAAGGAATGGAACAAAGCTGACCCCTACAGGTTTGGTCCTATAGATGCTTTAAATGTAAACCCCGCCCCCACTGTACCACGTCATGTCTGACAACTCAACTACTAGGAAGTACATCGAGATTACATTTTTGTAAACTTCCCTGTCGGAGCGATATTTTATCTTCGAATAAGGTAACTAACGTTAGTATTTACTTATTTTGTAACTGATCAAACTAACATCGCCACAAGGTAGAGAGCTTATGTATTACTATTGAGCTAGAGAGTAAAATAAAGAATTAACGTTAGCTAGCCCATATAACGTGAGTTTTCACAAAGCCAGTTGATCTAGTTAGCCACTGTAGCTGGCTAACCAACGGTAATTAACTAGCTGCTATTTTAGCTACGCAGATAATCACACCGTCAACACTAAATATTAGGTTAGTTTAGCTAGCTAGTCTCCTAGTTATATTTTCTGAGTCAGCTGCTAGCTAGTGAAGTTGTTTTGACATGCAGGGGGTTACATTGAGGGGGACAAAGTCGCCTAGTTGGAGTGGGAAATCCCAATGTAAAAAGTAAACAACACCGACTTGGACAGTCTGTTTAATCAGGCTGTAATACACAATTAATTGGTATATACAGCCTGAAACTAATGACTGGAAAATCGTTTAAATGTTTTACTACAAGCTAGAATGTTGAATAAAAATACATTTGAACTTACTCTACCGGTTGCTCGTGGTGTTGGTCCTTCCGATGGTCGAAATTTGAGACAAAACATACACATTGTTAACCTGACTTGTTAGAGCGCTGGCGTTATTGACATAGATGGGTTGTTTACGTTTCTACCGTTGTCTAGATGGAGTAGGCCTACAGCTCTGTCTAGTGGTCGCGTCAGTTGTTGACAACTGTAGCTAAGCCTAACCCTAACTTTTTTGTCCTAACCTTAACCTCATTCTCCTAACCTGCTGCGTTAGTTTTCCTAACCTGCCACGTTTAATTCACCTAACCTGCTATGAAAACAAACCATCGGTGCTGACAAATCATCAGTATTACCACACCTATACTGAAGTTGCCATTTCTATTACCTGGCACATGCGCAAAACCATGTAAACACCTGCTGACTTCAGTTAGACTGAGCAATAATAAACACAACCCAGTTAGTATGCCATTGTGTGCATGTACTTCTGTCTCGTGCACATGCCTCTGGTCATGAGCAAACGCAGGTGCACGAGATGCATGCATACTAACTGAAGTAAGCAGGTACAGTGCCTTCAGAAAGTATTCATACCCCTTGACTTATTACACATTTTGTTGTGTTACAGCCTGAATTCAAAATTGATTAAATCGATTTTTTATTTCTGTCACACATCTACACACAATGCCACATAATGAAAAATATTAAACACGTTTTTTAGAAATGTTAGCAAATTTATTGAAAATGAAATACAGAAATATCTCATTTACATAAGTATTCACACCCGAGTCAATATATGTTAAAATCAACTTTTGCAGCGATTACAGCTGTGAGTCTTTCTGGGTAAATCAGTAAGAGCTTTGCACATCTGGATTGTACAATATTTGCCCATTATTCTTTTCAAAAATTCTTCAAGCTCTGTCAAATTGGTTGTTGATCATTGCTAGACAACCATTTTTAGGTCTTGCAATAGATTTTCAAGCAGATTTAAGTCAAAACTGTAACTCGACCCCTCAGGAACATTCATTGTCTTCTTGGTAAGCAACTCCAGTGTAGATTTGTCCATGTGTTTTAGGTTAATGTCCTGCTGAAAGGTGAATTCATCTCCCAGTGTCTGGTGGACAGCAGACTGAACCAGGTTTTCCTCTAGGATTTTGCCTGTGCTTAGCTCCATTCCGTTTATTTTTTATCCTGAAAAAAGTCCCCAGTAACATGATACCCATAACATGATACAGCCACCACAATGCTTGACAATATGGAGCGTGGTACTCAGTAATGTGTTGTATTGGATTTGCCCCAAACATAACACTTTGTATTCAGGACAAAAATGTAATTGCTTTGCCACATTTTTTTGCAGTATTACTTTAGTGCCTTGTTGCAAACAGGAAGCATGTTTTGGAATATTTGTATTCTGTACAGGCTTCTTTCTGTTCACTCTGTCAATTAGGTTAGTATTGTGGCGTAACCTCAATGTTGTTGATCCATCCTCAGTTTTCTCCTATCACAGCCATTAAACTCTGTAATAGAGCGGTTTCCTTCCTCTCCGGCAACTGAGTTAGGAAGGACACCTGTATCTTTGTAGTGACTGTGTGTATTGATACACCATCCAAAGTGTAATTAATAACTTTGCTCAAAGGGATATAAAATGTTAGATTTTTTCATGTTTACCCATCTACCAATGGGTGCCCTTCTTTGCGAGGCATTGGAAAACCTCCCTGGTCTTTGTGGTTGAATCTGTGTTTGAAATTCACTGCTCGACTGAGGGACCTTACAGATAATTGTATGTGTTTGGCACAGAGATGGGGTAATCATTCAAAATTCATGTTAAACACTATTATTGCACAGAGAGTCCCATGCAACTTATTATGTGACTTGTTAAGCTCATTTTTACTCATGAACTTATTTAGGCTTTCCATAACAAAGGGTTGAATACTTATTACCTCAAGACGTTTCAGCTTTAAATGTTAAATTAATTTGTAAACATTTCAAAAAACATAATTCCACTTTGACATTATGGGGTATTGTGCATAGGCCAGTGACAAAAAAATCTAAATGTAATACATTTTAAATTCAGGCTGTAACACAACAAAGTGTGGAAAAAGTCAAGGGGTGTGAATACTTTCTGAAGGCACTGTATTTACATGGTTTTGCGCATGTGAGAGGTGATAGAACTGTCCACTTCAGTACCAGCGCTCTAAAAAGTCGGGTGAACAATACTTTCCTGTGGATATTTTGTCTCAAATTTCGAGCGGCTGAAGGACAAATCGCACAGAAAACTGGTAGAGTAAGTTAAAAAGTAATTGTATTCAACATTTGGGCTTGTAAGTAACATTTACACGATTTTGCAGTTATTAGTTTCAGGCTGTGTATACCAATTAATGGTGTATTACAACCTGATTAATCAGACTAACTTGGACTGTTACTCAGCTAGCTAGCTATGTCTCAAACTCTCCTACCAAGTAGCCTACCTCTGGCTTGTGGCTAGCTACGTATTGCGCTAGTTTTTGATGTTTACTATAAAGGCACTTACAGATGGGCCGCGAAGGTCTCTTCAATGGGAGTAGGGCGGCAGGCGGCAAAACGCAAGCAATTTTGCAAGCAGCGCGGTTTGTGGTGCCGCTGGCTCGGCGCCAAAAGATGAAATTAGCTGATGTCTTGAGCGGCATTGGTAAAACCAATGAGCGTCGTTCATCTTGTCAACCAATCAAACAATGTTTTAATGACAACATTCGAGCTGACAACAACCGGGACCGTTTGTCACTACACACGGTAGGCGGTTTACCTCGCGGTTCAATTGCCGTTTACCGCTGCCCGTCTGTAATCGCGTTAAGTTAAGAGTCAGCTGTACAACTTGTTTCTTGTGTCAACTTGTTCTGTACACTGAGTTCCATGTATTGCATAACGACCTCCTTTATAAAGCTAGCCAAGAAGTCACAGTGCAGTCTACTCTAGGGTTGGTTTTCTGTCTTTTCACAACGCGTTTTCTGTTGTCTCTCTTTACAGTTGTCTCTCTGCTTCCTCTACCACCATGCCAAGTGACACGTGCTGAGACAGAGGACCATGTTATTCAAACCACGCTAACCGAAGATGGTGTTTTAATCGCTCTTTTTAAAATGGACACACTGAAATCCTCCAGTGTTTATTTTGAATGCTAATAAATGTGACGATGTTGATCATTTTGTGATCAATATATCATTTTATATACAAGGAATGCACTTTCTTATTGCCAGAAAGTGAGTGACACAGTATATTCCCATTCACCTCAATGGAAGCTCCAGTCACACCAACTCCTCTACCCTCCAACTCCACCCTGCCTACACCTTTCCCTCTGCACCCGGCAGTGGCCCCATCAGTCCAGCTTGGAATCACCATCCTCTACACTGCTCTCTACGGAAGTCTCTTCTTGGTCGTCTACGTTCAGCTCTGGCTCCTCCTGCTCTGCCGACACAAGCGCTGGAGCTACCAGAGTGTGTTTCTGTTCCTCTGTCTTCTCTGGGCGGCTCTTCGCACCACTCTGTTCTCCTTCTACTTCCATAACGCCCTGGAAGCCAATCGCCTGGCCACAGTGTTTTACTGGCTCCTCTACTGCTTCCCTGTCTGTCTGCAGTTCTTCACCCTCAGTCTCATCAACCTCTACTTCACTCAGGTTAAGACACACATTTTATATCTTTAGATAACCTGTCCTGCAAGTATGTCACGTGTTTCTGAGTTATGATTTGTTATGAAAGCATTAGTCTTGACACTCGTGACAGATTGTTAAATCGATTAGCTGGCCAGCCGCATGCAAGATTTGGTTCAAAGTTCAGAGACAAAGAAAGTATTTGTTAAAGACTAGTATGTGTTTACTTAAACTATTGGCTGGTTTCTGTTCTCCATTGTTTGTACAGGTATTACTCAAAGTGAGAGAGAAGTACAGCCCTAACACTGAGCCCAGCAATGGACTGTGAGTTCCACTTCCCTCAAACGACTTGCAGCTGTTTGTGTCCTTTTTAGAGATGTTTTTGAAGAAGCTTTATTTAAATCATTTGAATTGACAAGTCTCTCTCTCTCTCTCTCTCCTCAGATGTTGGGCGCGGTGCTTATACGCCTCCCTGAGTGGTGTGTTCCTGTGTGTCAACGTGGTGTGTGCTGCTCTTGGCTGGAACGGGGGCAGTGGAGGAGCAGGAGCTAAAACATGGAGTCTGGTTCTGATACGAGTACTGGTCAATGACCTGCTGTTCATCTTCGAGGCTGTGTGTCTAGCTGCATTACTGCTCCTCTTAACCCGACGCTCCACATCCACCAGCCCTTACCTGCACAGTAAGGTGAGTCCCGACTGGAGTTCATCAGCTATTCCTTAAAAGGGAATTCAACAAATAATCTTGCATTCTCTATTCAGGAATGTGGTTCTACCTGAAGGAATTCGTGCTTTTATGACATTCATTCTCCACTTACTGTAACTGACCTAGCTATTCCTAAGTGTCTGGTGAATGAGATTTACCTGTCCCCTAGCAAAATCCAGATAACCTATCCCCTAGCCAAAATCCAGTGTATCGGCTGCACTCATTTAACTGTGGTGCCGTGCAACGGCAAAATCTCTGCAAACAAAATGAGTAATGAATAAAAAAATCGGACAACCCCATAGTAGAATAGTTCATCTATTTATCTAGTCACAGTGATGGAAAAAGTGCTTATTGATAATAACGTACCTGGTAATATGGACCATGCATAGGCTATATGTTAAAATCATTTTACCAAAATGTTATTGGGCTTATTTCTGGAGGTGGAAATTATATTTTAGATGGCATTTTCATTTTTCATTCGTATTGGAGTAGAATGAATGAGTAGTTCCAATTCAATCAGTACTACGTGGAGATTGGTATGCATCTTCTCCCCCCCCCCAGGGAACAACAGTGTGTCGGACTGCACTTCTAGGAGCGGGTGTAATACTGCTCTTTGCTAGTAGAGCATGTTACAACCTGGCTGTCCTCATACTGTCCCAGAATCACAGAGTGGAGTCCTTTGACTTTGACTGGTACAACATCTCTGACCAGGTAAAGAGCTTCACTCATGTACACTGAACAAAAAAATATAAACGCAACAATTTCAAAGATTTTACTGAGTTACAGTTCATATAAAGGAAATCAGTCGATTGAAATAAATAAATGAGGCCCTAATCTATGGATTTCACATGACTGGGCAGGGGCGCAGCCATGGGTGGGCCTGGGAGGGCATAGGCCCACCCACTGGGGAGCCAGGCCCAACCAATCAGAATGAGTTTTTCCCCACAAAAGGGCTTTATTACAGACATAAATACTCCTCACAAGGTGCACCTGTGTAATGATCATGCTGTTTAATCAGATTCTTGATATGCCACACCTGTCAGGTGGATGGATTATCTTGGCAAAGGAGAAACGCTCACTAACAGGGATGTAAACAAATTTGTGCACAAAATTTGAAAGAAATAAGCTTTTTGTTGCGTATGGAAAATGTCTGGGATTTTTTTATTTCAGCTCATGAAACATGGGACCAACACTTTACATGTTGCGTTTATATTTTTGTTCAGTATAGTTAACATACAAAAGGGTTGAAATTGATTCAGCGACATCGGCAAGATGTCACTGGGAAAACTGTCTGTATTTTAAGGGGATCATTTTGAGTAAGGCAAAGCACAGACTCTTATGTTGACAGATCATTAGTAGTTATGTTGATAGATCATCAGTAGTTATTGGGGATGCAAGGTGATTTTTAGATCGGTGATTCTGTGAAGTCCGACTGCAATGTAGTCTCAACCTCAAACATGCACAATAACACTTGTGCTTGTCTTTCCACAGGCTGACCTGCGTAGTGAACTGGGAGACAGGGGTTACTTGGCGTTCGGGGCAATTCTCTTCATATGGGAGCTGCTTCCCACCAGCCTCCTCATCCTCCTCTTCAGAGTCCGCCGACCGCCTCAAGAAGTTGTTAAGTTTCTGTTCTCTTTTTTTCCTCAACAGCCCTCTTAAGGCCTTTCACTTCACTTTATGTTTGGTTTCCCTTTCTGGCTTTGTATGTGCAGTAAATAGCAGCTGCTAGCCCCATTGTGATGTGTCTTCCTTCTCTCCAAGGGCTGTAATATGCCCATTAACAACAGAGTCCCGCGGCCGTACTTCTTTGATGACCCAGCAGGGGAAGACGCTGACTCGGGTGTTCCTTGGGTCAACAGCTCACATCCACACCAAAGGTAATACACTTGTCTCAATGATGCCTTGGAATTTGGATGTTACCAGGGTTGGGGTCAAATCCATTTCAAAACCATGTGAAAATTGGAATTTCAGTCTACTTTCTGAATTCAAATGGTATTTATTGATCCTAACCCTGGACATTACCTAATTGTGTGAGAATCAATTCACCTGTACGGTTAATGTACAACAACAAATGATTACTGTTCACACTGTTGTCTCTTTTCACCAGCTGGTATGGATCCATCAAGGAGACGACACCTCTTGTCTTCGCCAGTAACCCTCCTGACCAGAACCAACACCACACCTTCTACTCAACGCCACAGAACTAACTGACCCTCTATCTGAAATGGCACCATATTCTCTTTATAGTGCACTACTTTTGACCAAGGACCATAGGGCTCTGGTCAAAAGTAGTGCACTATATAGGGTAGAGGATGCCATTTTGGACTCGCCCTGATCCTGTCTGTCCTGCAGTGAAATGTTGTAGTGCTCTCTCAGGTTGCTAAAGGCGCTGCATGGTCAATCCGACGTCTGGATTGGCCGTGCAGCATTTACAGTGACATGGCCTCAGCAGAAGTCAGGGCATTCATACTTCTTGCCCTTCGCCGAGCAACGCAGAGATGTTGTCAAGGAAGTGATTTTTGTGTTTATACAGGACCTCCCGCCCCCACCTACCGTCAACCAATCACGTCAATGCGGAGCTAAACGGAGCCCTCCGCATTGTTACAAAATTTGGGAGTCGCACGGCGATGTGGTACGGAGCTGAATTTGGCCTCTGCGTGCCTCCGGAGGCGCCGCAATTGAGTCACACCCTCCATACGGAGCCTCAAACCACATTTTCAAATCAAGCATAAATTGGCTTTGACCACTTGCAGCTGCAGACAGTCAATACCTCATTCCAATGGACTGATGCGTTTTTGCACTAAAAAAAAACTCTGAAAGTGACTGAAAGTCATCACTAGACTAACTATGCACCTTTTCAATTGATCAATAGATGACTGACATCTCCAAATGCCTTTGATTGGTCACAATGTGTTTGTCCTGTGTATTCATTAGCCTGATTGCAGTCTGTTTGTGCTATTTCATGTCAGCTCCTTGTCACGTGTTTGGCTTGACAATGAGCGATGGAGTTGGCAAGAAGACGAACACTGGCGCTCAGGCTATATTCATTCCATTATAGAAAGTTTATTGAAAACTTTTCTGACGGGACCAAATGTCATTTTGTAAAGGCGTTGTTTCCTACTTGCCGACCAGCTAAAAGGTGTCGTAACGTCGGTATGACCACTTCCGTAAGTAATGCAGACAACAGTAGATTAGTTTGTCATTTTCTGTGATTGTACATTGAAGTAAGCTAACTTATTTAATCACCTGTCAATTTAGTAGTTATGGACCAAATAACTCTTCCTTCGCACCAGCATCCATTTTATAAGGGAATCCATAGCTAAACAGAATATACTCAGATCTGTGTAAAATGTGTGATTGTTAATCTTGTAATTATACTGAACAAAAATATAAACGCAACATGTAAAGTGTTGTTCCCATGTTTTATGAGCTGAAATAAAAAGATCCCATAAACTTTCCATATGCACAAAAAAAGCTTTTCTCTCCAATTTTGTGCACAAATGTTTACATCCCTGTTAGTGAGCAATTTTCTTTTGCCAAGATAATCATCCACCTGACAGATGGGGCATATCAAGAAGCTGATTAAACAGCGTGATCATTACACAGGTGCACCTTGTGCTGGGGACATCAAAGGCCACTAAAAACGTGCAGTTTCGTCACACAACACAATGCCACAGACGTCAAGTTGAGGGAGCGTGCAATTGGCATGCTGAGTTCAGGAATGTCCACCAGAGCTGTTGTCAGATAATGTAATGTTAATTTCTCTACCATAAATTGCCTCCAACGTCGTTTTTGTAGAGAATTTGGCAGTACGTCCAACCGGCCTCACAACCACGCCAGTCAGTACCTCCACATCCGGCTTCTTCACCCGAAGCCCCTACACTACCACTATAGTTAATGTCAACACGGAGGCGATAGGTTTGCCACCAGCCGAGTACAGCTCGTGTTGGTCTGTCCTTCCTAGATAGCAGCGATGAATATTCAGCTCATGATAGAGAACCCATCCATGTAGTACATCCCAGTGGTCCTCTGTAGCTCAGCTGGTAGAGCACGGCGCTTGTAACGCCAAGGTAGTGGGTTCGATCCCCGGGACCACCCATACACAAAAAAAAATGTATGCACGCATGACTGTAAGTCGCTTTGGATAAAAGCGTCTGCTAAATGGCATATTATTATTATTATTATCCCAACAAAGACGTGACCCGAGACCTTCATTTCAATGGTTTATTCTGCAGTATGTACAGATCATCCTATTAAAACTTTTTACAGTATGTACAGGTTAAATCAACCCACTTTCCTATTCAGTTATAATACACCCGCCCACAGAAAAATCTTGATATGCCAGAAATTAGGGAAAGAAATTACAAAAAGAAAAGGTATAACGTTGTCCATCACTCAGGATACTATGGCTACACCCTATTCCCTAGCTAGTGCACTACTTGACCAGAGACCTGTGCACTATATAGGGAATAGGGTGCCATTTCAGACAAAGCCAGACTGCAATTTAACATGGCGTCCTTTAACTGGATGGGTCAGACCTCCCTGTAACACGGTCTGACAAGCAGGAGGAGAAGAAGAGAAAGCAACCTCAGTTGGATCAACTCCATTGTAGAAGGAGAGGAACCGGTGACCTGAGATTTAGAACACTCCACTTTGTTGTCACTGACCAAGAAGTCAGGTCAGGTCTGTATTTGAAGAAGTCAGGTCAGGTCTGTATTTGAAGAAGTCAGGTCATGTCTGTATTTGAAGAAGTCAGGTCAGGTTTGTATTTGAAGAAGTCAGGTCTGTATTTGAAGAAGTCAGGTCAGGTCTGTGTATTTGAATATCACTCCTCAGTATTGGTGAAGAGGGGGGAAACAAAACACCTGCATATGGATCATAAGATGTCAGGCAGTAGAAAAAGAAAATATCTTGCTTTTATGTGTTCCAACAACAACAACAAAAAAGGTTGTGGAACAACAGGAAACAACATGTTCCTCCTTCCTCTCTCTGAGTTTAAACAGAACACAGAGCCAGGAAGGGGAAAGATACATAAAATACAGCTATTATTGATTGGTAATCAATAATAATGCATTGATCGATAAGTCCGTTCCCAGAATGCATCAGTGGGCATGTATCAGTGGTCAGGAGGAGGGGGTGTAGTCTCGAGTTTGCGGAGACGACGGCGCCTCAGCTCCGAAGGGTTGGGCTCTCCGTCTCCCCCGACTTCTTCTCCATCCCCCTGGTCTTCACTGTCGCCCAACGTGGTAGAGTCTGGCTGGGAGAAACCTGTGGCCCCGTTCACAGCTTCAGCTTCAGCTTCAGGTTCAGCTTCAGCGGCTGGAGAGAGGGACAGAAACAAAAGTGAGAAAGGAAATGCGTCTACGGTATAAAACATGCCGCTTCAAAATCCCACTAACGGCTAGTCCGGATTCCTAACTGAATGATTCTGGTTCACTTCACAATGTCAGTTAGTCAATAGGAAGACTCACCTGTACTGCTCTGACAGTCATTCTCCTGGGTTTCTGCACTAGCGGAGGGAGGAGATGATCCACTGGCCTCGCCAGCAGAGCTGCTGGTTTCTGACCGAGGAGGACTGAGGAGGAAAGGAGTAGTATGATTGTCACATGTTTAAACAATAAAAGAAAGATGTGGTTTTCCCACATAAAAATGAAACAAGGCATTCAGTACGTGAGTGTGGCGACGGTAGTGAGGTAATGGTGGATGTTGAGCATGGCAGCGTCCAGTAGAGTGTGGATGTTGTGGAGACACTGCAGTCTGGCCTCCAGGCCTCTACGGCCCTCCTGCTCCAGCTCCGTCAGCTCAGCCTCTGACATGGTGGACAGGGCCGGGGGAGGAGGGGGCATGGCTGACACTAAGACGGAGCACACAGGGTAACAAGGTTATTCAACATTCCAGCCTTAATACAGATTTGTGAACATCTCTGCCCTCAGCAACAGCCCTCCATAGGCAACAGGGTAAATAAGAACTGAACTGTTGCTAGAAATGTTGAAAAATGGTGGCCCATCTACAGTACTATTTTATGTGAAGGAGTAAGTGGGAATGACTCCAGGTCTTACCAAACGGTGGAGGTGGTGGCATAGTCAGCCACGGAGCTGAGGGGAACAGTGGGGGTGGGAAGGAGGAGAAGGGGAACCCAGGCATAGGGCCTCCTGGAGCAGCACCGACTGTACTGGCCCCAGCGGACTGACTGGTGCCTGATTCACACAAGGAGAAATTATGACTTCAAATGTTCACAGAATGTTAGGACAGACACTTCAGAGCTGATCTCCCAGACCCAGAGGAAACATACTCCTGGACCAAAAAGCATGCTCAATTGAGAATCTCTATTGAACGTGCCATTTCGTCATCTAGGTCAGGGAAAATACCACTTTAATTGGCTATATAGAATGTGGAGATTGGTCTGCGTCTACCCTCCCATTCAGAAAAGACAGGCATCTGTCAAAATGTCAGTCTTAAGTACCAGAGAGTAGAAATGAGACTCACCAGCTCCCTGAGTCTGAGCTGCTTCTGTGGCCTGAGGGGCGTCTGTGGCCCCTGGGGCGCCAGGAGCACCAGCAGGGGGGGCCGCTCCAGGGAAGGGGCCCCAGAAAGGAAACAGCCCTGGGGGGAAGTGGGGCATCATTCCAGGACCAACTAGAGGAGACAAGAGGGAGACGCATGTCAGTCAGCTGCTTGGGAGTCAACCCAGTTTATATCTAGTAACTTCATGAAACTATTACTAGGTTACTATCAGATATCTAAATATTGAACCCGTTTCAGTTTAACTAATCAGTGCAGATTGAGCCGTTGCGATATTTGACGTTAGACGTGTTGCTCCGTGTGGCGCTACCCACCGTTCCCAGGTGGGCCAGGGACAGGGGCGTTGGCTGGTGCTGCTGGGGCAGGGGGCTGGGCAGGGGCTGGGGCGGGGGGCTGGTTGGGGTTAGAGGCCCGGAGGACATCCATACGACATGTAGGACACGTCTGCTGTCTCTGGAACCAGGAGCGAAGGCAACTGGGATACAAAATGTAGGAAAAGGTTAGTTAGCTACACCGAGTTGGTGACATAAACAGCAGAAAACCAACAGGATCAGCCCAAACAATAAATGGGACAAAAATGCCTAGTCAAATATTTAAAAAAAAAAAAATCTTATTTTCTACTTTCTGATACCGTTCTGTCTAAAATAAGTATAGCGTAGATGTACCCATAAAATACCTTGAGTGGAAGATATGGTTGCAGGGAAGTTTCTTGGCTCCAGTCACCATTTCTTCACGACAGATGATACACACATTATCTGAAGCCAGCAGATCTTCAGGAGTGGCATCTGGGTAACTGCAGAGATACAAATAGAGTTCATTGAACATTGACTAGTCCACTGACGTTTAGTCAATGTTTTTCCATCCTAAATGATGAATATGGTAAGAGGAACGATTTATTTAATTTTTTTAAAATTGTGGATACACAAAATAACCAAGAAACGGATGCATTGCACACTCACAGTGTATTCATGTTGCGGATGGCTCGCCGGGACATTACTGCATCCGTTACAGCTTTCTTGAACTGCCTAAAAAGAACAAAATCCAGAAATTCAAGTGTTCTAATGGTTACATCTGCCTCTAATAACAACTAAACAATAGAGAAGACAATCTGTTGGCCGGATAACATATGGAGTCTTCAGAGAGTCCTGGGTTCAGACTAGGTCCAAGAATTTAGAGTGGTATCTTTATTCTAGGGTTCAGAGTAGCTGTGTTGCTCACCTCATAGCCAGGTACATGGGCCGGATGGCGAATAGGGGGAAGGTGTGCACCTTTATCATGATGGTCATGAACGCCATATACAGAAGGACCTTGATGAAACCTGGGAGGGAAGAGTGGGGAGATGTTAATGTCTTAAACATCCCACTTCAAAAAATTATATATATATATATATATATATATATATTTATATATATATATATATATATATATATATATATATACATACACACACACACAGCTCAAAAAAATAAAGGGAACACTTAAACAACACAATGTAACTCCAAGTCAATCACACTTCTGTGAAATCAAACTGTCCACTTAGGAAGCAACACTGATTGACAATAAATTTCACATGCTGTTGTGCAAATGGAATAGACAACAGGTGGAAATTATAGGCAATTAGCAAGCCACCCCCAATAAAGAAGTGGTTCTGCAGGTGGTGACCACAGACCACTTCTCAGTTCCTATGCTTCCTGGCTGATGTTTTGGTCACTTTTGAATGCTGGCGGTGCTTTCACTCTAGTGGTAGCATGAGACGGAGTCTACAACCCACACAAGTGGCTCAGGTAGTGCAGCTCATCCAGGATGGCACATCAATGCGAGCTGTGGCAAGAAGGTTTGCCGTGTCTGTCAGCGTAGTGTCCAGAGCATGGAGGCGCTACCAGGAGACAGGCCAGTACATCAGGAGACGTGGAGGAGGCCGTAGGAGGGCAACAACCCAGCAGCAGGACTGCTACCTCCGCCTTTGTGCAAGAAGGAGCAGGAGGAGCACTGCCAGAACCCTGCAAAATGACCTCCAGCAGGCCACAAATGTGCATGTGTCTGCTCAAACGGTCAGAAACAGACTACATGAGGGTGGTATGAGGGCCCGATGTCCACAGGTGGGGGTTGTGCTTACAGCCCAACACCGTGCAGGACATTTGGCATTTGCCAGAGAACACCAAGATTGGCAAATTCGCCACTGGCACCCTGTGCTCTTCACAGATGAAAGCAGGTTCACACTGAGCACGTGACAGAGTCTGGAGACGCCGTGGAGAACGTTCTGCTGCCTGCAACATCCTCCAGCATGACCGGTTTGGCGGTGGGTCAGTCATGGTGTGGGGTGGAATTTCTTTAGGGGGTCGCACAGCCCTCCATGTGCTCGCCAGAGGTAGCCTGACTGCCATTAGGTACCGAGATGAGATCCTCAGACCCCTTGTGAGACCATATGCTGGTGCGGTTGGCCCTGGGTTCCTCCTAATGCAAGACCTCATGTGGCTGGAGTGTGTCAGCAGTTCCTGCAAGAGGAAGGCATTGATGCTATGGACTGGCCCGCCCGTTCCCCAGACCTGAATCCAATTGAGCACATCTGGGACATCATGTCTCGCTCCATCCACCACAGACTGTGCAGGAGTTGGCGGATGCTTTAGTCCAGGTCTGGGAGGAGATCCCTCAGGAGACCATCCGCCACCTCATCAGGAGCATGCCCAGGCGTTGTAGGGAGGTCATACAGGCACGTGGAGGCCACACACACTACTGAGCCTAATATTGACTTGTTTTAAGGACATTACATCAAAGTTGGATCAGCCTGTAGTGTGGTTTTCCACTTTAATTTTGAGGGCAACTCCAAATCCAGACCACCATGGGTTGATACATTTGATTTCCATTGATAGTTTTTGTGTGATTTTGTTGTCAACACACTCAACTATGTAAAGGAAAAATATTTAATACGATTATTTCATTCATCAGATGTTATTCTAGTGTTCCCTTTATTTTTTTGAGCATATACACACATATATACACGCACACACAGTGAGGGAAAAAAAGTATTTGATCCCCTGCTGATTTTGTACGTTTGCCCACTGACAAAGACATGATCAGTCTATCATTTTAATGGATGAGTCCAATTTTCAGCTTTGCCCAACACCTGGTCGTCTAATGGTTAGACAGAGACCTGGAGAGGCCTACAAGCCACAGTGTCTCGCACCCACTGTGAAATTTGGTGGAGGATCGGTGATGATCTGGGGGTGCTTCAGCAAGGCTGGAATCGGGCAGATGTGTCTTTGTGAAGGACGCATGAATCAAGCCACGTACAAGGTTGTCCTGGAAGAAAACTTGCTTCCTTTTGCTCTGACATTGTTCCCCAACTCTGAGGATTGGTTTTTTCCAGCAGGACAATGCGCCATGCCACACAGCCAGGTCAATCAAGGTGTGGATGGAGGACCACCAGATCAAGACCATGTCATGGCCAGCCCAATCTCCAGACCTGAACCCCATTGAAAACTTCTGGAATGTGATCAAGAGGAAGATGGATGGTCACAAGCCATCAATTAAAGCCGAGCTGCTTGAATTTTTGCGCCAGGAGTGGCATAAAGTCACCCAACATCAATGTGAAAGACTGGTGGAGAGCATGCCAAGATGCATGAAAGCTGTGATTGAAAATCAGGGTTATTCCACCAAATATTGATTTCTGAACTCTTCCTAAAGTTAAAACATTACTATTGTGTTGTTTAAAAATGAACATGAACTTATTTTCTTTGCATTATTCGAGGTCTGACAACACTGCATCTTTTTGTTATTTTGTGATCTAAATGACAATATTTTATTTGGAATTTGGGAGAAATGTCAGTAGTTTATAGAATAAAAAAAAACATGTTATTGTTACCCAAACACATACCTATAAATAGTAAAACCAGAGAAACGGATAATTTTGCAGTGGTCTCTTAATTTTTTCTAGAGCTGTATACACATACACACACACACACACAGGACCAGTTTCCTGGACCCAAAACAACCCTAGTCCTGGAATGAAAAGCATGTTCATTGAGCATGCTAAGAAATGTGGCTTAATGTGGATCCAAGAAACTGGACCTTTAAAGTTGTACAGCAAGTGTAGAGTATCTTTAGTGATAAAGGTATACCAGTGAAGAGCTCAGTGTAAAGAGGATCTTATGTAGGATAAAGTGTGAATCGTGATAAAGGTATCCAGTGAAAAGAAGAGGTCTTAGTGAGGTATACAGAGAGAGGTAAAGAGGATCTTTAGTGATAAAGGTATATCCTCGTGTAAAGGATCTTACCAGTGAAGAGCTCAGTGTAAAGGGATCAGTGAGGGTATCCTACCAGTGAAGAGCTCAGTGTACAGCATGTAGACTGCTTTGTTGTCCCAGGGGCTGTCACTCTGGAGAGGGGGAACCGTGTGGAGGGTGTATTTGATGAAGGCGGTGAGCACCATAGTCATCAGGATGGCGTACTAAACAATAACAGTGTTAATATTTAGAGGAGGTGTACTGAAGCATAACCAACTGCTTTGATTCATCAAGACAATAGATTACTTCCAAACAATGTGGCAGGTATATAGGAATAAAGTGTCACATGACAGATTAAAAATAAAAAAAATCACAAATGTATAGTTTTACGAACCTCAAATCCAAAGACCAGTTGGACAGAGGCCCCCCGTGTGATGATACTGTGACAGGCATGGTTGACGAACAGGAAGTCCAGAACTCCCAGCAACACCATCAGAGCTATGAGAGAGAGACGCAATGATTTTAGATCATCTGTTCACACCTACCAGTCATTTTGACTGAACACACTAGTAAAGGTCTAGAGGTTCTTGGCCAGATATGCCAGTTGCGTTATCAAGCTACAAGGTCGATGTTTCGTTTTACTGGTGTGCACCAGGTGCACCAGTCTGATATATTTGCATATAGCTTTAATTTAAGAAACACCAGTTTCACACACAGTACAAGTAAATAGTTAGGACTCATTCAAAAGGTTATTTATTTTTACTATTTTCTACATTGTATAATAGTGAAGACATTAAAACTATGAAATAACATATGGAATCATGCAGTAACCAAAAAAGTATTAAACAAATCAAATAGCTACCCTTTGCCTTGATGACAGCTTTGCACACTCTTGGCATTCTCTCAACCAGCTTCACCTGGAATGCTTTTCCAACAGTCTTGAAGGTGTTCCCACATATGCTGAGCACTTGTTGGCTGCTTTTCCTTCACCCTGCCGTCCGACTCATCCCTAACCATCTTAATTTGGTTGAGGTCGGGGGATTGTGGAGGCCAGGTCATCTGATGCAGCACTCCATCACTCTCCTTATTGGTAAAATAGCCCTTACACAGCCTGGAGGTGTGTTTTGGGTCATTGTCCTGTTGAAAAACAAATGATAGTGGGACTAAGCCCAAACCAGATGGGATGGCGTATCGCTGCAGAATGCTGTGGTAGCCATGCTGGTTAAGTGTCCCTTGAATTCTAAATAAATCACAGACAGTGTCACCAGCAAAGCACCCCCACACCATCACACCTCCTCCATGCTTCACGGTGGGAACCACACATGCGGAGATCATCCGTTCACCTACTCTGCGTCTCACAAAGACACGCGGTTGGAACCAAAAACCTCACATTTGGACTCTAGACCAAAGCACAAATTTCCACCGGTCTAATGTCCATTGCTCGTGTTTCTTGGCCCAAGCAGGTCTCTTCTTCTTATTGGTGTCCTTTAGTAGTGGTTTCTTTGCAGCAATTCGACCATGAAGGCCTGATTCACGCAGTCTCCGCTGAACAGCTGATGTTGAGATGTGTCTGTGACTTGAACTCTGTGAATCATTTATTTGGGCTGCAATTTCTGACGCTGGTAACTCTAATGTTCTTATCCTCTGCAGCAGAGGTACCTCTGGGTCTTCCATTCCTGTGGCGGTCCTCATGAGAGCCAGTTCCATCATAGCACTTGATGGTTTTTGCGACAGCACTTCAAAGTTCTTGAAATGTTCAGTATTGACTGACCTTCATGTCTTAAAGTAATGATGGACTGTTGTTTCTCTTTGCTTATTTGAGCTGTTCTTACCATAATATGGACTTGTTCTTTTACCAAATAGGGCTATCTTCTGTATACCCCCCCCCACCTTGTCACAACACAACTGATTGGCTCAAACGCATTAAGGAGGAAATCAATTCACAAATTAACTTTTAAGAAGGCACACCTGTTAATTGAAATGCATTCCAGGTGACTACCTCATGAAGCTGGTTGAGAGAATGCCAAGAGTGCGCAAAGCTGTCATCAAGGCAAAGGGTGGCTATTTGAAGAATGTCAAATATAAAATATATTTTGATTTGTTTAAGACTTTTTTGGTTACTACTGTTATTTCATAGTTTTGATGTCTTCACTATTATTCTACAATGTAAAAAATAGTAAAAATAAAGGAAAACCCTTGAATGAGTAGGTGTGTCCAAACTTTTGACTGGTAGTGTATGTGACTAAATCAGTAACACGATTACAGTACTGATATACACTGTAGGGTCTTTTAAAATACTCTATAACCCATACTGTAATGTAAATATATACCACTGAAGGGCCCATGACAAGATATTGTATATCACTGAGTGGGCCTTTAACAGCTTAAAAATATACACTGCTCAAACAAATAAAGGGAACACTTAAACAACACATCCTAGATCTGAATGAATTAAATAATCTTATTAAATACTTTTTTCTTTACATAGTTGAATGTGCTGACAACAAAATCACACAAAAATTATCAATGGAAATCAAATTTATCAACCCATGGATGTCCTTAAAACAAGTCAAAATGAGGCTCAGTAGTGTGTGTGGCCTCCACGTGCCTGTATGACCTCCCTACAACGCCTGGGCATGCTCCTGATGTGGTGGCGGATGGTTTCCTGAGGGATCTCCTCCCAGACCTGGACTAAAGCAACCACCAACTCCTGGACAGTCTGTGGTGCAATGTGGCGTTGGTGGATGGAGCGAGACATGATGTCCCAGATGTGCTCAATTGGATTCAGGTCTGGGGAACGGGCGGGCCAGTCCATAGCATCAATGCCTTCCTCTTGCAGGAACTGCTGACACACTCCAGCCACATGAGGTCTAGCATTGTCTTGCATTAGGAGGAACCCAGGGCCAACCGCACCAGCATATGGTCTCACAAGGGGTCTGAGGATCTCATCTCGGTACCTAATGGCAGTCAGGCTACCTCTGGCGAGCACATGGAGGGCTGTGCGGCCCCCCAAAGAAATGCCACCCCACACCATGACTGACCCACCGCCAAACCGGTCATGCTGGAGGATGTTGCAGGCAGCAGAACGTTCTCCACGGCGTCTCCAGACTCTGTCACGTGCTCAGTGTGAACCTGCTTTCATCTGTGAAGAGCACAGGGCGCCAGTGGCGAATTTGCCAATCTTGGTGTTCTCTGGCAAATGCCAAACATCCTGCACGGTGTTGGGCTGTAAGCACAACCCCCACCTGTGGATGTCGGGCCCTCATACCACCCTCATGGAGTCTGTTTCTGACCGTTTGAGCAGACACATGCACATTTGTGGCCTGCTGGAGGTCATTTTGCAGGGCTCTGGCCGTGCTCCTCCTGCTCCTCCTTGCACAAAGGCTGAGGTAGCGGTCCTGCTGCTGGGTTGTTGGCCTCCTACGGCCTCCTCCACGTCTCCTGATGTACTGGCCTGTCTCCTGGTAGTGCCTCCATGCTCTGGACACTACGCTGACAGACACAGCAAACCTTCTTGCCACAGCTCGCATTGATGTGCCATCCTGGATGAGCTGCACTACCTGAGCCACTTGTGTGGGTTGTAGACTCCGTCTCATGCTACCACTAGAGTGAAAGCACCGCCAGCATTCAAAAGTGACCAAAACATCAGCCAGGAAGCATAGGAACTGAGAAGTGGTCTGTGGTCACCACCTGCAAAACCAGTCCTTTATTGGGGGTGTCTTGCTAATTGCCTATAATTTCCACCTGTTGTCTATTCCATTTGCACAACAGCATGTGAAATGTGTCAATCAGTGTTGCTTCCTAAGTGGACAGTTTGATTTCACAGAAGTGTGATTGACTTGGAGTTACATTGTGTTGTTTAAGTGTTCCCTTTATTTTTTTGAGCAGTGTATAACCCATACTCACATAACACTCTGAAGTGGAAGACCCAGGATATATTAGGACTTCTCTCCATCTGAGTGAGAAGGTGGAAAAATACCATAAGGACAGACACTTGCTTTCCTTTCACATTCACTGCCACTTTCTAGATGGTAAACATGCTTATTGTATAGTAACTAAAATGTCTTAACTATGTGAAATATCTATAGAAATGTAACAGCCATGTAATAGCCTCTCACAAAGTCCACCCTGTCCTCGGCCAGCCAGTGGAAGCACTTGATGAAGAGCAGCAGGGTGAAAAGGGCTACGAAGCGGGGAGAGAAGTCATCTCTGAACACTGTGAAGGCCAGACACGTCTCTGTGACAGCATACCAGGACCGCTCGATCAGATGCTGAAGGAAGAGGAAGTTGAATATTAGTTATAAACTTTTTACACTTAATCATACTTACCCAACCTGTACTGGCTTTGATATTTTATTTTCAAAATGTTCCTTTCCAGCATGAGTCTAACAAATATGGTGGATGTGTAACCAAGACAACGCAGTACAGCTTGGCTTGTGAAGAGGGTATAATGGTTGCATCACAGGCCTAAGCAACAACAGCATCACATAGAAGTCCAGTGCCAGTTGTCAAGCAATACAGATCTGGTGCTCTAGTAAACCAAACAGGAAGTAAACAAAACGCTGAAATAACACATCGTTGGTCCACACCTCCATCTCTGCAGCTCTCAGCTGTCCGAAGAAGACTTTACGCATGAACTTTCCCAACAGGAACACCAGCACAAAGGCCTGGATGTACAACACCTGCCGCAGAGAGGAGAGGAGAGGAGGGAAAGCCACGTTACAGACCACACATCTGATAAACATGTGAAAGGGGAATGTAGAGAACGGTGTGTACTCACCGCTATACTGGGGCTGCTTTTGGTCAGGTAGACCACAGTGGGGTAGAACTGGTGTTTCAGGAAGTAGGCGTGGCCAACCACTGCGCCAGTCAGAGCCAGACTGGTGGCAGTCACCAGGGCCGCACGCACCATGGTGCAGGCAGTATCTACAGCTGTGTGGTAGGAAGACAGGACAACAGTCAGACACTATCTACAGCTGTGTGGTAGGAAGACAGGACAACAGTCAGACACTACAGCTGTGTGGTAGGAAGACAGGACAACAGTCAGACACTATCTACAGCTGTGTGGTAGGAAGACAGGACAACAGTCAGACACTATCTACAGCTGTGTGGTAGGAAGACAGGACAACAGTCAGACACTATCTACAGCTGTGTGGTAGGAAGACAGGGCAACACAGTCAGACACTATCTACAGCTGTGTGGTAGGAAGACAGGGCAACACAGTCAGACACTATCTACAGCTGTGTGGTAGGAAGACAGGACAACACAGTCAGACACTATCTACAGCTGTGTGGTAGGAAGACAGGACAACACAGTCAGACACTATCTACAGCTGTGTGGTAGGAAGACAGGACAACAGTCAGACTCTCTACAGCTGTGTGGTAGGAAGACAGGGCAACAGTCAGACTCTCTACAGCTGTGTGGTAGGAAGACAGGACAACAGTCAGACACTCTACAGCTGTGTGGTAGGAAGACAGGACAACAGTCAGACACTATCTACAGCTGTGTGGTAGGAAGACAGGACAACAGTCAGACTCTCTACAGCTGTGTGGTAGGAAGACAGGGCAACACAGTCAGGCAATCAGAATGTATAGCAGCCCTTGTCATTTCATAATTTGGAAGGTATCCAATTGTTTCCTTATACCTCACTAGCTAGCTAACAAGTAACAACCAGTGAATAAATACATGTATGTTGACAGCTGCCTAGGGGCAAGTGTAAACAGAGCAATGTTTGAACTATACTAAACAAAAATATAAACGCAACATTCTACAATTTCAAAGATTTTACTGAGTTAGTTCATATAAGTCAATAACTCAATTGAAATAAAAAAAAAGGTAGGCATGGATCAGAAAACCAGTTAGTATCTAGTGTCACCATTTGCCTCATGCAGCGTGACATCTCATTCGCATAGAGTTGATCAGGCTGTTGATTGTGGCCTGTGGAATGTTGTCCCACTCCTCTTCAATGGCTGTGCGAAGTTGCTGGATATTGGCGGGAACTGGAACACGCTGTCGTTCAAATCGATCCAGAGCATCCCAAACATGCTCAATGGGGGACATGTCTGGTGAGTATGCAGGCCATGGAAGAACTGGGACATTTTCAGCTTCCAGGAATTGTGTACAGATCCTTGCGACATGGGGCTGTGCATTATCATGCTGAAACATGAGGTGATGGCGGCAGATGAACGGCACAACAATGGCCTCAGGATCGTCACGGTATCTGTGCATTTCAAATTGCCATCGATAAAATGCAGTTGTGTTCGTTTTTCCGTAGCTTATGCCTGCCCATACTAACCCCACCACCACCATGGAGCACTCAGTTCACAACAGCAAACCGCTCGCCCACACGACACCATACACATGGCCTGCTGTTGTGAGGCCGGTTGGACGTACTGCAAATTTTCGAAAACAACGTTGGAGGCGGCTTATGGTAGAGACATTAACATTCAAATTCTCTGGCAACAGCTCTGGTGGACATTCCTGCAGTCAGCATGCCAATTGAACGCTCCCTCAAAACTTGAGACATCTGTGCCATTGTGTTGTGTGAAAAAACTGCACATTTTAGAGTGGCCGTTTATTGTCCCCAGCACAAGGTGCACCTGTGTAATGATCATGCTGTTTAATCAGCTTTTTGATATGCCACACCTGTCAGGTGGATAGATTATCTTGGCATAGGATACATGCTCACTAACAGGGATGTAAACAAAATAGAGCACAACATTTCATAGAAATAAGCTTTTTGTGTGTATGAAAAATGTCTGGGATCTTTTATTTTTGCTCATGAAACCAACACTTTACATGTTGCGTTTACATTTTTGTTCAGTGTAGATTGACATCTTCATTCAATTTAATCAAGCCTTCATTTCGTCCAAACTAAAACTGCATTGTTGAAATGCCACATGTAATCTATCAAGCTAGGTAGATGTATCGGATGGCAAGTTAATAACAAGATAGCTAACAAGACAGCTTGCTTAGTTTGACATTATGCGAACATCCTTTTCAACTCAGCCACACAAAGCTAATACCTAGCTAGTTAGCTAGCTAACAATGCACGATTATAGTTGAGGGGATGTGTTAGCTAATCTGGGCTGGAAGAGATTGCTAGCTAGGCTGCTCTTTCTCTGAATAGCCAGCTATCTTAGTAGTTAGCTGTACAGTAATGTCACTGCAGTGCGAAACTAATATGGACAGCCAGATAGCTAGCTAACGTTAGCTACTCACGGATTCGATGTCGTTTTCGTCACGGAATGCACTTGCTGAGCTTGTTCCAACGCCTTGATTGGGGCGTTCAGTATGATTACAACATGTATCAGGTCCCTCAACTAATTATATTACGACCAATTACTTTTTTTACTTCTTCAAGCGTTTCACGGTCTATTTTACTAACATGTATACCCCAGCCCCAAAGACGCCTGAGTCTCTGATACGTGTTTATCTTTGGCTTGCTGCTCCAAGTGGCCACCTCACTTCCGGGGAAATTCAAACTAGCGAACTAACAAGCGATTCAAGGAAATATGCGTTCGGTGGAAACCGTTTGTCAACTGTTAAACGAAGAAAAGCAATTGGATAGCAAGCTAACTGACGTAGCATTCCAATATAAACCGTGAAACTCAACTTTCCCGTCAGTGTTGTAACTAATAGCTAGCTACCGTTAGCTAACGGACTGTTCTCAATGGGAGCGCATTGGTTTCCACACCGGCGTACCCCGGCTTATTTTTGGCATTGGATTTGAGTGGCGCAGTGGTCTAAGGCACTGCATAGTGGCTGTGCCACTAGAGATCCTGGTTCGAATCCAGGCTCTGTCCCATGGGGCGGCGCACAATGGCCCAGCATCGTCCAGGGTAGGGGCGGGAATGGCCGGCAGGGATGTAGCTCAGTTGGTAGAGCATGGCGTTTGCACCGCCAGGGTTGTGGGTTCGATTCCCACGGGGGGCCAGTATTAAAAAGATAATGAATGCACTCACTAACTGTAAGTCGCTCTGGATAAGAGCGTATGCTAAATGACGGAAATGTAAATTTGTGCCCTGGTGACAGTAAGACCATATTTTAGTAGACATGCGGTAACAACCCAACGCGGACCAATAGTTGAACAGGGATCAATATTTCAACAATGGTGGTCTGGCAAGTTGATTTCCTACCACGTACTACCGCCTATCAAATGATGGGTTTTATTTACCGTAATAATTGTAGTGCCGCACCATTAAAATGTCAGCATCGCAACTAAAAAGTACCCACCAATGCTTGTTTTCCCCTAGAAGTTGTCCTGACAACAGACAAGTACGGACAAAAATTTTTTACAAACAAAAAACTGGTGAATGAAATGTAGTCAGTGTTACCCATTACTAGTTAACTTTGTGCTAATGAAGTTGATCCTGTCATATCAGAATAACGCCACTAACTGTACCCTACACAAAACTTACCTTGCCTCCACAAGATCCAAAAAAAGACACAAAATGGTTAATGAATACAGAAAGTAATTCTGTCACTTGAACATATACTGCCCCATGTAGCTCAGTTGGTAGAGCATGGCGCTTGCAACGTCAGGGTTGTGGGTTCGTTTCCCACGGGGGGCCAGTATGAAAAAACTTATGCACTCACTAACTGTAAATCGCTCTGGATAAGAGTGTCTGCTAAATGACTAAAATGTAAAATGCATGTACAGAGAATCGACAACCATCGTTGACATTGATAACTTTATTGATGAGAGTTCTAATCTGATTAGAAGTTTCTAGCTTGTCACCTGTTCAAAGCATTCATTACTGGATCCCCCATATCATAGTTATCAGTTAGACATACTTTTATTAAAAAGGCAGTAACAGGTTTTTTTTCTCCTAGGGATAGAAACTCTAAAAAGGAAACATGATGAGATCTGAGTCTAATAGTAAACATAATCTATGCATTAGAAAACAAGATGGGAAGAAAGAAAAAAGTTCTCAAAGTAAAATTACAAGTAGTTTGACTGTCGTACATTTGTAGTAGTAGTGATATACATTTCATAATTTTCTTTTAAAAACTAAAACATATCGAAAGATAAAATCATTCACCAACATTTTGAAACATTTTTATGCAAAATATATATATATATTTTTAAAAAGGTACATGCTTTCCAGTCCTACAACTCTCAATAGAAGAAGCACATGGTTGGTAGTGACGACCCAGAGCAGTAGTTGGTCCATTATTTTGTGCCCTACTCTGAATATTCTTCTGTAGGTTTTACTTCTATCTTCTGCTTGTAGACTCCGTTTCTTTCTTTCTTTAATTCTGCTGCTCTGGGTTCAACATCCCTTCTGCAGCCAGATAGTGTAAACACTTCAGCCTTTTAAGACCTCTTTTTGCACATTAAACATTCAACAAAAAAAAAAAAAAAAAAAAAAAAAAGAAGTGTAAAAGAACCTCCCAGCCTAACCGGTCTGGTCTGGGGGGGCACCATTAGGACACTGAAGAGATCGGGTTGAGAGTCTGGTCTGGGGGGGGGGGCACCATTAGGACACTGAAGAGATCGGGTTGAGAGTCTGGTCTGGGGGGGCCACCATTAGGACACTGAAGAGATGGGGTTGAGAGTCTGGTCTGGGGGGGGGCACCATTAGGACACTGAAGAGATCGGGTTGAGAGTCTGGTCTGGGGGGGGGCACCATTAGGACACTGAAGAGATGGGGTTGAGAGTCTGGTCTGGGGGGGGGGCACCATTAGGACACTGAAGAGATGGGGTTGAGAGTCTGGTCTGGGGGGGGGGGGGGCACCATTAGGACACTGAAGAGATGGGGTTGAGAGTCTGGTCTGGGGGGGGGGGGGGGGGGGGGGGGCACCATTAGGACACTGAAGAGATGGGGTTGAGAGTCTGGTCTGGGG